CTCCTCTAATTTCAGTAATTGAATATGACCTGGTCAGCCGAGAGCATGGGGGGGATGCCCTCATAATCCCTGACAGTGTGTCTCAGCAAAGTTGGTTGCCTTCTCAACGTGCAGCTATAGCAGCGACCTCTATCGAACATGAATGTTGGCGTCCATTCCACAAAAAAACTGTAAAGTCTCTACTGTGTTCTTCAAAAGGCCATGCAAGAATCATCCTTCTGACCCCCCTCCTGGACGCACAGCGGCAAACCCGCAGTGGAAAGAACAGCCCACATCCTAACACCAACACCAACACCCACAGAGAAAGCCAGGTGGGTTCACAGCTCACACCCTATCAAGGAAGAGGGAGTGGAGGAAACCCACAGACATCTTCCCAGCATCAGCAGCCAGAGACAGAGCCCAGCTGCACTTCGCTGCTAGCAGTCTCATAAAGACGGGAATACAGAGGCTGGTACCACAAGCATCACCACCATTACCACCACACGGGAAAAGAAACGAGCTTTGCAGAGCTTCTCATCACAGGAAGGGTGGAAACAGAGGTGAACACTTAACTGGAAGACCAAGATAGCCTCCTCCCCCTCCCCCCTCAAGTTCGGAGAGCTGACACCACCAGGAAGGGAGGCAGGGAGGACACACCTCTCCTCCCCTTGCCTCTAGAATGATCCCAGGAAGCTCCACGGCCATCAGCACCCTACTTAACACCCAAGTCATAGGCAAGTTGAGAGAGGGAATGTTTTAAAGGAAAAGCATAGGGACTTCCCTGGTGGTGCAGTGGTTAAGAGTCCGCCTGCCAGTGCAGGGGACACGGGTTCGAGCCCTGGTCCAGGAAGATCCCACATGCCGTGGAGCAACTGAGCCCATGCGCCACAACTACTGAGTCTGTGCTCTGGAGCCCGCGAGCCACAACTACTGAGCCTGCGCTCTAGAGCCCGTGCTCCGCAACAAGAGAAGGCACCGGAATAAGAAGCCCACGCACCGCAACGAAGAGTGGCCCCCGCGCGCAGCAACGAAGACCCAGCACAGCCAAAAATAAATAAATTAATAATAAACGAAAAGCGTGACCCCTTCGATTTAGTCCTGCATAGACATGGCCTGAGGAAATGAAAGAAGAGAGAGAATACTCTCTCTCAAGCCCCCCATCCCCCCACCCACCCTGGGATCCCCTGCTAGCGGTTCTCGGAGCTAAATCCTGAAGAGCAGAGCCCCTGGCCAGGCTCAGAAGCTGATGCGTCCTTGTGTGCCCTCCACATGGCATTCAAAAGTTTTTAATTTGTTGCCATTGCTTAAAATTTGGAAGATTTCACATTAAAAAAATCTAATTTCTGGCTTCTTTTGAAACATCGTAAGACCCAGACTCCGGCGAGTTAAGAATCCCCTGCCTAAGCCAACATGTGGAACTGGGGTGGGTGACAGCCACTCCCCATGACTGATGCCCTCTGGCACCCTCTAGGCCTCCAGCTCTGTGCTGGCTTCACCGTGGTGCTGCTGACTGGTCCCAGAAGACATCTGTGGTGGAGTCCACGCTAGTGACAATGCCAAACTTGCCTCCCTCCACCCCATGTATGCTGGAGATTTCTAGGACATAAAAATTTCCAGAATACAGAGACTCCATAAAGAAGCTCCTGTTCCCTTTCCCTTCACCACACTTCCCGCTCCCTGCAAAAAAAAAAAAATAAGAAAAAAAAATTGCCCTCCAAGAGTCACATCTCACTAGGAGAAAACTTATCTGGTGTGAAATCTGAAGAATGGAGGAAGCAGGAATCTAGCCACCAAGCTGAAGGGCAGCCCTGGCTTCAAGGATAACCCCTCAATGAGCTGGAATTAGGGGTGGAGACCACAGACCCAACCAGAGTCAGGAATAGTGTCTCGGAGGGAGAAGATGCCGCCCCCGTCTCCCTCAGCTCTGGAACCCACAGGGCACTTCTCATGGGGCACCAATCAGAGGGAACCACAGCAGAACCTGCGGTCACTCCACCCCGAAGCTTGGCACCCAGTTTCCCAGTGGGAAGAATGCTTTTCAAGGGATCTGGCCTCTGCCATGTAGTGCTTATGTATGGTCTTGGGCTAGACCCTGGTGCTTTCAGGGCCACTGTTTTCTCATTTATCAATAAAGAGCTTAAAATGAGTAAATTTCAAACGGCTTTTAGCAATGAAATATTTTTTTCAAACTGATTTCTCTACCAATCCCCAGTAAAAAAAAAAAAAAAAAAAAAAAACAGACATGCAGTAGTGGTTGCCTAGAGCTGGAGGTGAGAATGGGGAGTGACTGCAAGGAGAGAGGGATCTTTTGGGGGGATGGACATGTTCCAAAATTAGATTGTGGTGATGATTGTTGAACTCTGTGTAAATACACTAAAATTCATTGAATTGTATGTTTAAAATGAGTGAATATTATGTAACATACATCAATAAAGCAGTTTAAAACAACCCAATCAAAAAATGGGGCTGAAGACCTAAATAGAATTTTCTCCAAAGAAGATATACAGATGGCCAACAGGCACATGAAAAGGTGTTCAACATTGCTAATTATTAGAGAAATGCAAATCAAAACTACAATGAGGTATCACCTCACACCAGTCAGAATGGCCATCATTCAAAGGTCTACAAATAGGAATTCCCTGGTGGTCCAGTGGTTAGGGCTCAGTGCTTCCACTGCAGAGGGCACTGATCAGGTTTGATCCCTGATCAGGGAACTAAGATCCCACGTGCCATGTGGCACAGCCCACAAAACAAAGTCTACAAATAACAAATGCTGGAGAGGATGTGGAGAAAAGGGAGCCCTCCTTCCTACACTGATGGTGGGAATGTAAACTGGTGCAGCCACTATGGAGAACAGTATGGTGTTTCCTCAAAAAGCTGAAAATAGAGTCACCATATGACCCAGCAGTCCCACTATCCCACTCCTGGGCGTATACCCGAATAACACTGTAACTCCAAAAGCTACACGCACCCCTATGTTCACAGCAGCGCTGTTCACAATAGCCAGGACATGGAAGCAACCCAAGTGTCCATCGACAGACGAGTGGATGTGGTACACGTATACAATGGAATGTTACTCAGCCACAAAAAAGAATGAAATAATGCCATCTGCAGCAACATGGACGGACCTAGAGATTATCCTACCAAGCAAAGTATGTCAGAAAGAGACAAATACCATATGAGATCACTTATATGTGGAATCTAAAATATGACAAAAATGAACTTATCTACGAGACAGAAACAGACTCACAGACGTAGAGAACAGACTTGTGGTTGCCAAGGGGGAAGGGGGGTAGGGAACGGACGGATTGGGAGGTTGAGATTAGCAGATGCAAACTACTATATATATGATGGATAAACAACAAGGTCCTACTGCATAGCACAGGGAACTATATTCAATATCCTGTGATATACCATATGGAAGAGAATATGAACAAGAATATGTATGTGTATATATATATATGTATGTATAGCGGAATCACTTTGCTGTACAGAAGTTAACACAACATTGTAAATCAACTATACTTCAATAAAGTTTTAAAAAAACTGATAGAAACAAAGAACAGATGGATGGTTACTAGAGGCAGGGACTGGGGGGGCGGGTGAAATGGTTGCAGGTGGTCGAAAGGTGTAAACTTCCAATTATAAAAGAAGTAAGTCCTGAGGATGTGACGTACAGCATGGTGACTATATAATTAACACTGCTGTATGGTGTACTTGAGAGGTGCTAAGAAAGTAAATCCTAAAAGTTCTTATTACAGGGAAAAAATTTTTCTGTAACTATATGAGGTAATAAATGTTAACTAAACTTACTGTGGTGACCATTTTGCAATATACACATGTCAAGTAGTTATACTGTACACCTTAAAGTTATACAGTGTTGTACCTCAATTACATTTCAATAAAACCAGAAGAAAAAAATGGTTAAAAAAAAGAGGATGTTAAAAGATACGCTATAGACTGGGAGAAAATATTTGCAAACCATGTATCTTACAAAGGACTTGTATCTGGGATATACATAAAAAGCTCTCAAAACGCAACAGCAAAGAAGTAGTTCAATTAGAAAAAAACATGAACAGAGATTTCACCAAAGAGGATATACAGATGGCAAATAAACACATGAAATTAATATCATTATGGAATATCATTAGGGAAGTGCCAATTAAAACCACAACGAGATATGGTTAAAATAAAAAGTGATAACCCAAATGCTGACAGTGATGTGGAGAAAGTGGATCACTGATACATTCCTGGTGGGGATGTAAAATGATAGGGCCACTCTAGAAGAGTATGGCAGATTCTTACAAAACTAAATATGCACTTGACCATAGAACCATGGATTCCTACTAAGCAATAAAAAGGGATAAACTATTGATTTATGCAACAAATTAAACAGTTCTCAAGGGAATTACGCAAATTAAAAATAAAAGCCAGATCAGAAGATTATACACTATCTGTTTCCGTTTATGTAGTTTTGAAATAACAAAATTATATAGAAGAAGAAGAGAATAGTGGTTGCCAGGGGCTGTGGATGGAGATACTACAAAAAAGTAGCATGAAGGATCCTTATAACAGAACTGTTCTGTACCTTGGTGGTGGTGTACATGAGTGTACACATGTGATAAAATTGCACAGAACTAAATACACACGTAAGTGGTTGCATATAAAACTGGGGAAATCTGAATAAGGTCAATGGGTTGTACCAATGCCAATTTCCTATTGTGATACTGTGCTATAGATATTCAACTTTGTACCACTGAAGGAAATTTGGGGAAAGGTATATAGGATGTGTCATTACTTACAACTGCATTTATGAATCTACAATTATCTCAAAATGAAAAAGTTAATTTTTTAAATCTCAATATAATCATAGTTAAACACAAATCAGAAGGGAGTAAAAATAAACTACATTGGGAAGGAGACGCAAGAGGGAGGAGATATGGGGATATATGTATAGCTGATTCACTTTGTTATAAAGCAGAAACTAACACACCATTGTAAAGCAATTATACTCCAATAAAGATGTTTAATAAATAATTAAATATCAAATAAACTACATTAATAACTTTACTATGAATATTAATCAACTTTTAATTTTGTATTTTCTCAATTTTTGGTATGTGGATGAATCACTTTCATTTGGAACCATTAATTGGTTAGATGAAACACAAGATGAGGTTCAGAGGTAATACTGGGGTAAGAGGAAGTGATCCCAGTGTTCAGGCTGGGACACTAACTCCTTCCTCCTTGAGGCCCACAGTCTTTTCCTTGAGAGCCTTTTATAAACCAAAGAGCAGTTTCTGGTGGAATGGTGTGATGTCATCAGTGACTCATAGTAAGGGCTCCAGAATCTCGGAAGCCATTTAATCCCGAACACTTGGCTACAGTCAGTGCTCTTCTCACGCTGTTGTGAGGCTGCATTCTGGGTAAGGGTGAGGGCCTAGATCTTGAGGGAGCCTCCAGGTGCTTACTTGGGGTGGGCGTCACTCTTTTCTGTACTACGGTGAGTCTTGGATCCTGAACTATGTTCCTCTAAGCTGTCGCAGGGGATGTGGAAGGGATCACCTGTGAACCTCCAGATGAGTGACTGGGATGCAGTAGGAATACAAATAGGTCTCGAGTTTGGGGAGAAAAGAGAACAGGAGGGGATGTGGGCAAAAGGAGAACAAAATGAATATGGGGGAAGGAGGAGAGACAGTAAAGCCACCCTACAGAGAACTCGACCTTGAGAGCCCCGGGAGCATGTGGACACTTTGTCACCCAGGAGGAACACTGTCCTCAGAGGCGGCAGGCGGCACTGGCCTTCTTGAGGGGGAACTGCCTCAATCAGCTTCCAGGGCCATTTCGGACAGGCCTGGGCTACTCTGGTCAGATTTTTGCCAGGTTGGATTGCTGTAACTTTATAGCGGTTCACAGGGATATTTAGGTAGAGCCGATGACATAAGCGTGTAAGGTGGCCCAGCTCAACCCTAATGGAAATGTGACTGAGGCTCAACTGTGGCTGCCACCAGCCTTCTTCCCCTGAGCACCGCTCAGACACGAGTTCTAATCCCAAGTCCAAAGAGCTCTAGCCACTGTCAAGGAGCAAATCCTAGACAAATTAGGTCAGCATTTCCTCATCTGTATACAGGCAAGTTATACACCTTACCTCACACCTCCTTGTAAGGATTGAATGAGGTAATCCCAATGCACGAATCAATATCTGAAGTTTACTAAGCAATTACTGTTAGTTAATGTTATTGCCATTTTAATTATTATTAGGTCTCACAAGAAGCAGGTTAAGCGGAAAGAAATGGCCTGGTCAGAATCAAGTTGGTTTCTTTCCATTTTTTTGTACCCAGAAAAGACAAGACTATCCCTCTGAGCTCCACATCGGCTGCCTCGGAGACTGCTGCAAGCCAACAGGACCAAGCAAAAAAGTCAGAGGAAAAGCAGCACATGGAAGGGAAGCCAGGTGTGTGTGGTCATTTACACTTATCCCCGCTCTCTGAATGAATGAAGGTGATAGATCATCATGGCTCCAGCATCACTTCTTCTTCCCTGGACTCTCACGGGTGTGGGTCTGCAGGGCAGGGGAAAGGGTGTCCAGGGTGAGACCGGAGGTCACTATCTTGTTCACCTTTGTAGTTATTAAAGACATCGATGACCAGAGAGTTTCACATTTGTCTCCATAGAGGTGCCCCCCAGACAGAAAGATCCATGGAAAGAGGCACAGGAGAGCAGTTTTTCCCTGGCAAAAAAAGGTAAATATTAATTCAGTTCCTACCCTCCTTTACAGACAAAGTGCAAAGGGGGTGATGGTCATTCTTATCACTTCAGATGTCACATGCAACATACTCAAGGTGAGTGAGAAGGGAAGAGCACAGTGTTTCCCAGGTGGGTCCCTCCCCTGATCACACAGGGTCCTTCCTCTCTCCTGGCAGCTGCTCAGGATGGGAGCCCTCTGGCCTCCAGTTCTGCCCCTCCAGAGGCTGTCTCTGAGCAGAGAACCAGGAGGATGCGGGGCCAGAAGAGGAAGAGACTGATGTATGTCAAGGGGGGTGTGATGTCCTCAGCTTCCTCGGCCCTGAACAGAACATCAGTTACTGCTGAGTAACCACTTGTTGTCTTGTCCTCAGGAGGCAGGGTTCAACCTTCAGGGTGAGCTGCAAGGGAAGACTCAGGACCTCCCAGGTGGGTCAGGTCTGTGCTCACACAGAGCCTTGTTCCTGCAGCCGCCCAGGAGAGCAGCCCCCTGGCCTCCAACCCCACCCCCTCGGAAGCTGTCTCCGAGCTGACGTCCTGGAAGAAGAGCAGTCGGAGGAGGAGCATGTGGACTGTCAATCATGTTGAGGGGACGAAACTCAGGATGAGCAAGAGAAGATCCAGTTATCGTCCAGAAGACCAAGAGGCCTTCTACCGGCTTCTGGGTCTGTGCTCTGAGCCAGTGGAGTGTCAGGTCCCTTTTACACCGAGGATCCCAGAGGCTCCGGGATCATAGCCAAAGCTCCCCCTGGGGCTCAGAGCTGTGAGGTGTCCAGGTGGCACAGAAGCAGATCACTCTGTTTCCACAGTTCTACTGCGGTGCTGATGGGTTTTCATCTGAGACAAGTTCTTGGAGGGAGAAGGGAAAAAAGGACTCACGGTTGACTGTTCAATTATCAAGACATTTTAGGACAAATCAAGGGAGGAATCCCCTGCCCACATTTATTCCCTCCAGTTAAGATTTTAGAGATTAGTGATGAAAGGACAAACTAGATCTCGCTGCCATTATGCTCAGAGTGGGAGGAGACCAAAAAACATTACAGAAGTAAGTTGCTCTCAGCCAGTGACAAATGCAGAGAAGGAAAAGGCAGTGACACCTAGAGACGGGCTGTGAGCAAGAGTCGGAGAGCTTTGTGACAGATACTCAGGGAAGGTCTGCAGAGAAGGTGATGCCAGGGCAAGAGGCAGGACCGAGTGTGGCAGGTTGGGAGATGACACGGAGCTGACACTGTCCAATGCAGCACCCACTAGCCACATGCAGTTATTCAAATTTAACTCTACGTGAGTTAAAATAAACTTCTGAAATTCAGTTCCTGGTTCTCACCAGCCACATTTCATAAGCTCAGTAGCCACACATGGCTAATGGCTACCGTACTGGACAGCAAGCTACAGAATATTTTCATCATCACAGAAAGCAATGCCCTTCCGGGAGCCAGGCCGCCTGGACAAGGCTCAGGGAGGGCGAAATGATCCATGACCCCTCCATCCTCCCGTCTGGGTAAATGTCATTGTCCGGGGCAAGGTGTGAAAGACAAGGAGGACCTGGCATTCTCAGGCCATCACTGGAAAATGGCACCTCCAAGGACAGCTCTAATCCCAGATGAGCCTGCTGGGGCCAGGGGAGGCCAGGTCATTATCAGCAGGAAGTGAAGGGGGTCCAGGAGGAGGGTAGAATGCCCAGCGCCCCCCGCCCCCGCCCAGGAGGGTATGAACTCTCCACTGCCCACATGGGGTGCTGTTATCAGGTGGGGCAGGAAAGCGTTGCCCAGTCACAGTACGATGAAGTGACAGGGATGCAGTGCCCAGAGGCCCAAGGCCACACCCAAGCTTTGGCTCGAGGAAAGTTATGTTAAACTTTGAGAACCAGGTCATATCTCTTTATGAAACACACATACCCACCCACGTGTTGAAGATTAAATAACAATAGCAAAATCCCTGCCCCACAGTTGAGACTCACTCTCCCTGGGTCAATGGAAGGAACAGATTTGTCACTGTTAAGGCTCTGAGCCTTCCTGGGGAAAGAGAGCTGCCTCTACTTCCTGAAACAGAGGAACTGGGAGAAGTTTCCAGTTCCCCTCCTCCCTGTGAAATGTCCCACAGCCCCGGGCTCGCTGCTCCCGGAAGGGCTGCTCCAAGGCCCTCATCACGTCTCCCTTCCCTTACAGAGGACCCTGTTATCCAGAGCTTCCTGGAAGCTGATATTTTCCTGAAAGTGTCCGACAAGGTACCCACAGCACTAAAAGTATGAGGTACCAAGGGGTCTGCAGTGTCACCACCCCCTGGGGGTGGGGACGGAGGACAAGGTGTCTGCCTGAGCAGAGGCCCTGGAGAGACCCGCCCTTGGTGCCAGAAAGGAAGAAAGGACACACTGTCGGTGCCCCGGCCCTTGGGCATCTCCTCCCTGGCCTCCCATCAGCTCATCTCCACATGTCAAAGGGCCATGAGTCCCTTAACAAGGCCCACCCTGGGTGGTTTTCCCACCTGGCCTCTGGATGGGGGTGGGGCGCATGGCCCGCTCAGGACACTGGCCCTGCCATCGACCCCTGGCCGCCCCTCCCCCACCCTCTGTCTCCACGCAGTACCTGCTCTCCATGGTGGTGGAGTACTTCGGCCGTGTCGGGCTGCCTGGTCACCTCTACAACAGGATCCACTTCTTCCTGGCCCTGTGAGCAATGCCTGAGGGCCCCCAGTGGTGGTTCAAGGCCCTCAAGGGGTCACATGGTCAGAGCAGGGGAAGGCAAGGAGGAAGGTCCTGGGATAATGAACGTAGCCAGGAAACACCATTTGCTGCCCAGAGACTGAGGGACCCGAGGTAGAAAGTCCCAGGGAAATGGTGACAGCCAGAACCTTGACCTGGGCTGGGCACAGCATGGGCCCAGCAGCCTTGGTGCTGAGGACGGTCCTGCCCTCTGTGGACCCGGGTGCTCCTCCAGGGTGACCTCAGCAGCCTCTCTCCACTGTCTCGCCTGAGTCCTTGTGGGGGCTGGGACCAGCTAGCCCTCTTTTCTGATGGCAGCTACATCGCCTCCGACATGGAGGAGGACAACCCCACATCCAAGCGGAGCATCTTCCAGTTCCTGCTGGGCAGGGAGCACTGGCCAGACCTCTACAAGGAGTTCCTCAAGTTGAAGGTGGAATTCTTCCATGCGATGGAGCACCGAGCCTGGGTCACCCCGGATTTGTGTGAGGAGGTCTGTTGGGGATGAGGGCCTGGGAGCGCACCCCAGAGGTGGAGGGGCTGGGCCCCTCCTCCAGGCGCTCACCCTGCTGTGCTTCCCTTTCAGATCCAGGCCCAGAACCCACATCACTGGGTCTGGAGTCGGGTGCGCCAGGGCGTCCCCTAGGTTCCCAAGGAATGGAGCAGGGGCTGCAGGTGGTCCAAGTAAGTACTGGACCTCCTGGTGGGGACAACCCCACCCCGTGCCCTGCAGTCACCTCCAGGGCTGGTGGTCACGAGGAAGTGCCACTGCATCCCTTAACGCACTGTTAGCCTAGTAAGGGCTCTGTGAACTCCCATGGTACAGAAAGTAATTACTGTGTTTATACAAAAACTCTCCAAATGGATTCAACTATGGAATCATTTACCATGCTATACAAGGTCCCAATTTGCATATCAATTTCTTTTTTTTTTTTTTTTTTTTTTTTTTAGGAAAACTCTTGGAAATGCTGATCTAAGTAGTGAATGAAAACCTCTGCAGGGTTTTGATCTGAGTTGATTTTTAAATATAAATAGATGAAAAACACTGAGGTCATCCTTTCTGGAAAAGGAGCCATTACCATGGTGGCTCTTGGGGAAAAAAAAACAATTAACTCCAACATGTCATCAAAGGTTTTGTGTGCTTTGCTCCCACTTGATGCAAGCTACCCTGAGCTGGGTCCCTGTAGTATGTGTCAGGGTCTAGCCTCACGTGGACAGAAGGAGCTCTTAGGGCTCTCTAGTCTCTGAACAAATAAGCTCGCTGGATAATAAAGGAAACAAGTACACATGCAGAGCTGTGAGGAAGCCCGTGACAAACGACACATGCACAGACCGGTCACCTGACTAGCATCACATGCTTTAGCATTTGTTTTCCTTGGCTTAAATTTCGTTTTTATGTGTGGATTTACCTGAAGTGGAGGGAGACCTTCTGTGAAGTGCATAAGGAACCCCCTGCTTGGGCAGACAGCTGTACTAGGACAGTCCTGTGAGCTGAGCCCTCCGCCCTTTGCCTCATTGCAGGGGCCCATTCTGACCCCAGGAGAAAGAAAAGGAGAGAGAAAAGCAGGGCAAGTGTGTTCTGAGATAAACCGAATTGGGTATGAAGTTTCGTTCATCCCCTAGGTTTTTATTTGAGGACCAAGAATATGTCAGGACTACATATTCCTACTGTATATATCAGGAGTCTCAAAATTGGAAAGAAAATAGCGCTTTTACTACAATAAGGAAAAGAAAGAAAGAAAAACACCCGCGGCCCCTCTTGGATCTGGTCGCACATAAGAGCAACGAGGGTGACAGCTGATTCTCCCGGACCCCCTGTCCTACATGCACCTTGTTCTGTGGTGCCGAGAGCTTCCTCGCTGGGGGGTCTGCCTTCCACTCTGATCTCACTTTCTCTCTCTGCTTGTAGCTCCCGCCCCCCTCTCCCTCCCCCACCACGGGGCCTCCAGCTCTCCTCAGGCCCGTGGACCATGGCAGCCTGAACCTGTCGAAACCAGCCAGTGGCACGATGGCCCCCCAGCCTTCCAGTGGGTGTCAGCTGACAAAGGCCCTGACCCCTGAGTACTCTGAAAGGGTCTAGCAGTAACATGGAGGGGGGCACCCAAGGGAGAAAAGAGACCAGAGCAGAAGCCTCCACAGAGACTGAGGATGGGCAAAGGGAGAAGGGACAGAAAGTCAGGAAGAGGCCTGGACCACCAAGGAGGAGGAAGCTGAGAAGAGCCCAAAGAAACGACTAGAAGGTAGTGAGGAAAAGAGGCAGAGACAGGAAGGAGAGAAACACCTGAGGAGAGAGGAGGAAGTCCGCATCTAACCTGCTGGAGAGCAGCCTTACCCAACGGAGAGATGGGAACTGTCAGCCGGAGGACTGAGGGAAGGCATGGAGAACATCAGTGGGCCGATCTAAGGCTGACACACAATGGGAACAGAAGGGGGGAATCGTATGCTATCGTTCACTCTGACATTACAGAAATAACCCAACCTTCACACTCAGAGAAGGGAGAGAGCAGGGGAGGGACTCATGAATGCTGCCTGGGGGAGAGGTGGGGAGGTGCCAGGGTGCCATCAGAGCTGGAAACAAGACAGTGGAAGCCGAGGTAAGGAAAAGAGGGATTCAAGGAATCCTACGAAGGTATTTGTGTTAAATGCAGTCACAAAAACATGAGCCATCCTCACTGCCAAAGTCATGAATACAGCAAATTTTGAGAGCAGAGAAAACAGACCAAAGATACACAGTAAATATAAGAAGTGCGGTATAAATACAGAAATATAAAAACTAGACACACCTTAGATCATATTATTAATAAATCTGAACTCAACAACACTAAAAAAGATCTTCAGATTGAATCACAAAGCAAAACCCAGCTGTGTGGTTTGTAAGAGCTTGTTCTTAAATCATCAGAGGTGCGAGGGCTACACCAACAGACATGCTCAACTGAGAGTAGGAATTAAGTAGGAAAATTAAGGCTCAAAACCCTTCAGAGAGACCAAGAAGGTCTTTGGGGTCGGGGTGGGGGGCCCCGGGGGCACCTGTCCAGCATTAAAGGCCATCCCAGGGCCTGGGCTGGTCCACTGCAGCTTGATTTGCTCAGTGATGCTCAGGTTTACAGCTCTCTATATGTCCAGCCCCTTTAGGTAGGAAGTTTTATTACTGGGCAGCTGCTATACAGTATTACTGGGTAATCACTGCACTTGCCAGACAGAAACTATCTAGCTCTTCGTCTCTTTTTTTTCCCCTGGAAATGTCTAATTTTGCCAAGAAATTTCTGGTAAGCTTCCCAGGAACCTCACAGTCAAGTCTTATAAAAAGCCGACTCCTTCCAGGAAGCAATACAGTCGCTCAACGCTCTCTATCCCATGAAGGTTTAGCATTTTCCTCGAGTCCTCAAAACCTCGAGCAGCAAACGACCACGGTACTTTTCAGTCTGTGACACCCAGTCTGTGCTGCCCCAGAAGGCCAAGGTGGAAGCAGCTGGGCTAAGGGTTGCTTCTCTCTTCAGGGTGGCCGCTGAGGGGCAAACCCAGAACCAACAGGACTGGGCAATGGGCCACACTATGTCTCCATCCACACACCTGTGACTCCGTCCCAGGAAGCCTGACACAAATGGGGCCAACCCCAATGCGTTCCAGTTACTCAGCTAAAAGGTCGCCCATTCTTCCTTTAGTCAGAGAGTCCCCTCAGCATGTTAGGGGAAACCCAAGGCCACTCGGGGGGTCACTGCTGCTGCAGCACTGAGGCTGGTGCCATTCGGGGGAGCTGGTGCAAGGATTACAGGACTGCAGACAGTTGGGGCTTTCAGAGAACAGCTGAGTGTCTGATAATGGAAAAGGCAAGTGAACAGCACTGGGAGCTCAGGGGAGAAAACCAAGGGCCTGGAAACTCCATAAGCAAAGCCCAGGGGAGAACAAGCGGTGGGGACTCGGGACGGGCTGTGTTCACATCTGGGTCATTACATCCCACACAGCATCACAGGGTCTGCTCAGGGACCCAAGCAGAAAGGGTGTTGATAAAGAGAAGCAGATGGAGGGGTTTTTGGAGCAGAGGATGAAGAAGCCCCAACAAACCTCCAGAAACTCCAGGGCGGGGCCCCCGGGCAGAGCTGGTATTAACGCCCTGCTGCCAGGTATGCACCATCTGCCCTCGTGTCCGCCTATAACAGCTTTGCCTCCTCTCCCACCTCCCGGCCTTGCTTGGGCATCTCTCGCTGGCACCTCCCAACGGCACACTCTTACCTGGTCCCATACGGGAAACATAGGTGGAGGCTAAGGAGAGAGGAGGAGGTGGTGAAGACGCCGAGTTGACATCCAGGCCCCTCACAGGGCACAGGGGATGACCTACAGGTGAACCAGTGCAACAGAGGGGGTGTGGAGGGAGGTGACCAGACAGCACCTGCTCCCTCCTCTGGGGACCTGCAGAGATTTCATCGCCTGAGGGCTGGAGCTCCTCTCATCTAGATCTTACGGGGCAGGAGACTGCAGCCAGGGATGCTAATTACAGCGGATTTGCTAAGGATTCTTCCTTCAACTCCAGAGTTATACACATTTGCCCAAAATATCTTCTTAATCTCTGAAATGGCACAGTAAGCAGAATTAAAATATTCTTGATAAGTGAAAGATATGCACACAAATAAACACAAATGAAAGAAAAACAAGTGGCACCAACTAGCTTCCAACCACTGTCCCTGTGATGAGTCCCCCAGTAATGTGACTCCACAGATCAGCATCTGGCATGTCTGGGTTCTGAAAGCACACGGTCCACAGTGTCCCAAGGCCCTGCACCTGCGCATAAGACTCCGGATGGCGCCACTGACTACAGAGGCAAGGCGAGACACTTCACACCTGAGTACTGGAGTAAAAGCAGTGGAAATTAAGAACATGTGCTTATTTACAGATTTTCATTGCTTTTATTGAGCTTAGTATGAAATTAATTCTTTTCCTAAATTTCCTACTTCATGTTTTAATGTACCATGGAAGAAATATTTTCAGCTAAAAGAGAAAATTTTTAATTAAGATAGTTGTTATAATGACCAAGAAAGCAACACAGGCTAATTCAATTAATCTAATTCCAAGAAATTACACAAAGGCCTTTGTTTTTCCAAAGATGCACAGAGAAAGGAAGAGTCGGTGTGTCTGCTTTTTAAAGGTGTTCATAAACTCTGCCTGGTGCAACGTCCTTGTAACTTACATTTAACTGGCCTCTTCCTGAGGGTCTACTGGACCAGGAAGAAAGGCAGTAATGGACCAGGTTCTCGGGTAGAAACAGCGCGGTCTGGGTGCCCAGGCTGGCCTGGGCTGCGATGGGGAGCGGTGCGGACTTGGGCCAGCCACCCCTCCCTGAGCCTCCGGGTCTCAGCTGTAGAACGAGGGGCAGGACGAGATGCCACCTGAGGGAGCTTCTGGTGCAGCTGCCTGATAGATGGGTTCCCCTCGTCTGGGGCCTGAAAGTCCTGCCCTCTGAGCAGCCCCCACTTTCCATCCCAGCCTCACTTTCACTCAAGAACATAAGATGGAGCAAAGCAAGAGGATGGAGAACAGGCAAGTCTTCCTTATCCACAGGCAAAAATCAAGGATGTGGTTTTAGAGGCTCTTCTTTTATCGAAAAAGGCTTCTCGGAAGCTTGTGACTGTAGTGAGAAGCAACCAGTGTATTTTGGAGTAGGGGAACCTGGCCTTGGAAGCAGGAAAACAGTCACCTGGGAAGCTCTGGAACCAGTGTAGGTATCTGCTGGGCGCAGTAAGTGCTGACAGAGGCCTCCACGTGGAGGGGGTGCTTTTCCGACCTCACCTCTGCTTCCTTCCACTGCTGGTTAAAAATTGCAGACACAGGGGTACAGAGGTGACCAAATCCTGTCCCCTCCTCCATTGCTTAACTGGAGAGATCTCCATACAGTGAGGCATCTTCCCCAAAATTTGGTCAGTATGAGGATGGGGAACCCAGAAGAGAGGCCCCCAACCCTGTATGAAGGAGGCGACAAAGTCTTCCTGCTTTGGTCTCAGATTGGTCCACGGCCTTCAGTTTCACCCAGTTCCCAACATCCTCTCCCGGCCTGGCCTACTCCAGTCGCTCAGACCGGACTTTGGCATGTGCTTCCCTTGGAATCGTCACAAGTCCATTCCTCTGACAACTCCTGCCTCGGCTCCCACAGGCTCTGGCTTCCATTCCAATGCTGGCTCCCATGCTCGGGCCTGTCTACAGCCCAGCAGGCTCGCCGGCCTCCCACCAAGCGTGTTTGCACACTGACCACCAGGCTGAGAGATGCGAGCCCCCCTCCTTCCTGCCTCCTGTAGGATGTCAGGAGATCCCCTAAGCTGGGACATGCCCCTCTCCATATGCTGTGAAGTCAGCTGGTTTCTAGACAAAGGGTGAGAAAGCGGCCTTATTCAAGTAACATTACGCAGCACCAAGGAGAAGTTCTGTGAGGCTCACACCAATGATGTCCTGCGGCTAAGGCCTGGCGTCTATGCCTCAGAGCTTCCCACAAGTTCATGCCTTCACTCCTCTGGAAGACACTCGAGCGAGGAACACAGATGTCAGCATCCGTCGGGGAAACAGTAATAACCTGAGTGTGTGTGTGGCTGTACTGTTTCTTTAACCATGTCCATCTATGGAGGCAATGACATGCATTTCCATCTGTGTAAGCAGAGAAGATGGATGGACAGGTGAGGAATCATACTGTGACAGACATTACCAGCACTCACCGGTGTCTAGTTCTCCCCTTTGTGAAAGAACACGTACAAGGTGGAGCAATTTATTTCATGCCAACAGGCTGTAGCCAGAAGTGACATAGGCCACTTCTGGGCCAAAACACTCAAAGCTGGACGCGTTTCCCCAGCTCTTCCCTGCCATGGCTGTGAGGAGGCTAAAACGTTCTGGATGGTGAGAGCCATACTCCCAAGATTTTTTGAGAGCCCACAAAGAGCTGGCATTGACTTCTCCGATGATCCTAACGTGTTTGCTCGGGAGCAGACTGTCCAGAACATCATCTGTGCTCCTCGGGAGGCCCCAAATATAAAGACAATGCTGTTTCCAGACCATCTGCAATCTTCCATCCTGTTCTCTCCCTTATAAAGCCTGATTTTTGCTTTTGTTGACAACATTCCAATGACTGTTCTCCTTCGTACACGAGAGTTCATACGTGTGCAAATAACTCAAGTCATTCTTCAATCACAGAAAAGATTAGAAGTTATAAACAATTGAGAGTGAAGGCAGCAACAGCTACCCAATGCTGAGTCCTCTGTACCCTGATTCAAATGGAATTTCTATAATCTACCATTTTAATTTTTTTCTTTTATTTTTAATTAGAAGAAAAAACTCTTTAAGTGTGAAGGAAGCACATTTCACCCTCCCTATCAGCCACCTTGCCTATGCTTCACACACAGGGGCAAGTCCCAGGGCGGGCACACAGGTGGAACAGTGAAGGTCTGAAGAGAACCACTGATGCACGCCTTCCGGACGCAAGCCCCCTCTGCAGGAGCAAACACCACATGGGTTTTTGTCAAACTCTCAATGGAAACATTTCTATTTGCTTTCATTTTTACTTTTAAAGCTAAACCCCACAATTCAGGGTGTGGAAACGTGAAATCACTGGATGGACCTTGCAGCTTCGACCAGTTTACGGTCCCACCGGCCATTTAGGAGGCAGAGGGCACATCAGTATCTGGACAGCAGAGAGCCGCCTTCTTCCTGGACTGGAAACCTGAAGCTGCAGACACCTTTATACGAATCCCCTTCCTCAGCATCTGGTCCATAAACTTGATACAGACGTATGTTCTCTAAATCCTGGGTGAAAATGAACTTTTTTTAAAAATAAATTTATTTATTTTATTTCATTTATTTTACTTTTGGCTGTGTTGGGTCTTCGTTGCTGCGAGCGGGCTTTTCTCTACTTGCGGCGAGTGCGGGCTACTCTTCGTCGTGGTGCACGGGCTTCTCATTGCCGTGGCTTCTCTTGTTGTGGAGCACGGGCTCTAGGCGCACGGGCTTCAGTAGTTGTGGCACACGGGCTCAGTAGTTGTAGTTCGCGGGCTCTAGAGCGCAGGCTCAGTAGTTGTGGCGCACGGGCTTAGTCGCTCTGCGGCATGTGGGATCTTCCTGGACCAGGGCTCAAACCCGTGTCCCCTGCATTGGCAGGCGGATTCTTAACCACTGTGCCACCGGGGAAGCCCTGAACTTTTATTTTAAAATATAATTTCTGAAGACCTCTCTGTAGTGGAAGTTTCTTATTTTTTCTATTTAGAGCAGGCTTCATGTTGGGTAATTCTTCATTAGGGTATAAATCTCCTCCTGTTTAAGATGATCGATCATACTATGAGGATGCCTGGCACTGTCACAGGATGTATGAACTTACTTTAGACAAGACTATGGTGACACCTTAGGAAATGCTAAAAGCCCTTCATTGCTGCAGAAAGTAAAACTATATGACAGAGCTTCTTTAAAAACTTTGCATTTCTGAGCATAAAGTCACTTCACCTGAATCACCTGAAATCTTTTTGAAAGATTTCAAAAACTAATATCCATCTCAGCCCCCACTGCTCTACTCTCTGAAACCCCAAACTAAAGTAATCATCAAGAGTTTTGAAAACAAACCAAAAAATTTTATTTACAAAAGTAAATTTTCACTCATTTTTATATTCTTATAATGTTAATGCCAATAGCAACAGTCTCTGGGATATTTAAAACCCTTGATTTTAAAATGCATTGAGGTTTGTGCAGCTCATTCCCCCCCCCCCCCAGTTATATTATAAAACTTATAAAGGTTTCTTTAGCTTTGTTGTTTGGTCACGCTTTTGTGCAGAAGTCACGTTTCAGGGTAGGCTTACCACCAGACATGATCACATAAGCATTGGCTGTGGGTTTCCAAGAAGCAAAGGAGCCAATCTCAGCAAAGCGCGCACCGGCACCTTCAGCTGTTTAAATGTGAAGAGAAGTTCTGCGAAGCTTGTGCTCCCTAAAGAAATGCAATGGGAGGGAAGGGGTCACGCATCTAAATAGATTCAGCGACACATCCTCTTTCAAAGAAGCTTCAGACACATAATCACATTTCAAGCTGGCGTTCTTCCGTTTGAAAACAATTACTGAAAGATAATATTTAAACTATGAATTTCCCTAATGCACTATAAGGTATGATTTGATATAAAATTTTAATTTATCCATTCTGTACTTCAGAAACTGACCCGTAACCATATGTGAAACTATTAATACTGTTTAAATACATATATTACTTAAATATAATTAATAAATGTGCCCATCTATCCTCAATTACCATAATCCATGCACTTAATAATTTACCTAAAAAAAAAAAAGACACAGGCTCAAAATGAGTAACAGAGAAGTTAATCTAAAGCCTCTTCCTCTAACAAGCAATGGTTCCCAACCTTGGTCCAACAGAGTCTGATGTAATTTATGTGGAGTACAGCCTGGGATCTGGAGCTCTGAAAGCTGCCCCGGCGATTCTGATGTGCAGCCAAGGTCAAGAACCACTGCTCTAAGGGGACGCAGTAAGTGTATGACCTGCAAATTGTATTAAGCATCTTCCTCTTTGCCTCCATTCTCAGCACATGCCACTGTCCACAGTTCCCTTTCCTCAGCCCCAACATATACACATACATGATCCCGATGAGTCTCTAAGCCACAACAAGCATCCTAGTAGACACGCAGACAGCAGAGTGTACAGGTGGGTCATATGATCCCATGAAGACGGACAGAGAAGAGTCTCATGATACGAATCGAGTGGCTTTCTGATAAAAGCATAACTAACACAAGAAAGAGTTGTAATGCTGCACAAAATATGAAGAAAGCAACTATTTATCTTTAGTATTTCCTTTTATCGACTCTGCCAGTAATCTGTGAATTAAATGTGTTTAATAAACCTCAACAGGAATTAAGAGATTTCCTATTTAATTGTTATCCACAGTGTTCCCAAGACCTTGCTAAAACTCAAAGACAGAGAACAAATACATATGAGCTATGGAAAACATCTCCAATGTTCTGATACACTGTGGACTCTAACAGACCATTTAGACTTTTTTTTTTTTTTGGCCACAACACGCGGCATGAGGGATCTTAGTTCCCTGACCAAGGATTGAACCCTCACCCCCTGCAGTGGAAGCACAGAGTCCTAACCACTGGACCACCAGGGAAGTCCCCAGACCATTTAGACTTAATGTGACTATCACTATGGTTAGGTTTAAATGTATCATCTTGCCATTTGTTTTCTATTTTCTCTGTCTGTTCTCTGGTTCCCCCTTTTCCTCTCTCTTGGACTGAGTACTTTTTATGATTCCACTATAGCTCCTTTATTGCTTATCGGCTCTAACTCTTTTCTTATCTTAGTGGTTGCTTTATGATTTATAGTATCATCTCTATCACAGATTACCTTCAAGTAAGATTATACCTCTTCACAGGTAGTATAAGGGCCTTATGGCTGTAATTCCATTTCTCCCTGCCCAGCCTCTGAGCTATTATTGTCATACATTTTGCTTTTCAGATTTTATAAACCCCATAGTACATTTTTATTATTTTTATGTCAATTATATTTAAAAAGTATTTTTAAAAGAAACAAACCTTATGTATATACCCATGTAGTTACCATCTCCAATGCTCGTCATTCCTTTGTGTAGATCCATATTTCAATCTGACATTATTTTCCTTCTGCCTCAAGGACTTACTGTAACATTTCCAGTAGTGTGGGTCTGCTGTTGATGAATTGTCTCAGCTTTTGTGTGTCTGAAAAAGGCTTTATTTCATGGTCTTTTTTTTTTTTGAAAGATATTTTTGCTGGGTATAAAATTCTAACTAGATAGTGGTTTTCCTTTGAGTCCTTTACAGATGTTACTCCACTGATTTATCACTTGCATTGTTTCCTATGAAAAATATGCTATCACTCTTATTTTTTTCTCTGTAACATGTCTTTTTCCTCTGGCTGCTTTGAAGACTTTTTATCATTAGTTTTAGGCAATTTGGTTATTATGTGCCTTGGTGCAACTTTCTTCATGTTTCTCAGGCTTGGGATTCCTTGAACTTCTTGCAACTGTGGACCTCAGTTTTCATTAAACTTGTAAATTTTCCACCCATTATTTCTTCGAGTATTTTTTTCTGTCCCTCTCCCCCATTTTTCTCTTCTTCAGGGACTCCAATCTCACGTAAATTGGGTCCTTTAAGTCCCAGAGCTTACTCCATTTTTAATGCTCTGTTCCTTTTTTTTTTTAATTTTTTTCTTTTTGCATTTCATTTTGGATAGTTTCTAATGCTATGTCTTCAAACTCAGTATTTTTTTTTTATTCTGCAATGTCTAATCTGCTATTAATCCCATTCAGTGTGTTTTTCTCAGAATTATAGTTTTCACCTCTAAAAGTTCAGTTAGATTCTTTTTATATTTCCATAACTCTTAATGTTCTGAAATATGGAATAATGTTATATGGAACTGAGTTATAATAACTGTCTTAATGTCCCTGTCTGCTAACATCCATGTCAATTCCAGGTCAGTTGTAATTGATTTCTCACCTCCTTCATTACAGGCTGTATTTTCCTGCTTCTTTGTATGCCAGACATCATGAATTTTACCATGGGTGCTGGATATTTTCGTATTTCTGTATTCTTGAGCTTTCAGGATATAGTTATATTACTTGAAAAGCAGTTTGATCCTTTTGTGTCGTGCTTTTAAGATTTTAAGGTGGGCTAAAATATTTTAGTCTAAGGCTAAATATTTCTGTTTAATCTGTTTAGTCTAGGGCTAAATATTTCCCATCATTGAGGCAAGACCACATTGAGTACAGCCCCTTAAATTGTGAAACTGTGGGAACAGACACTGTTCCTGAACCTGTGCAAACTGGTTCTCGCTAATCCATTAGGACAGTTCTTCCCTCAGCCTTGGGAAACGTCTTCACATGCGTGTGCTGATTAGTAAGGACTCTTCTGATATTTGAGGGGGACCCTCTGCAGACATCTGGCATTCTCTGTGTGCAGCTCTCTCCTCTCTGGCACTCTATCATGTAAACGCTAGCTCCTTTGGCTCCCTGTACTCTCAGTTCCATCACCTCAACTGAAGGAGTCTTCCAGGCTCTTCCTGGGTTCCCTCTCCCTCCTTCACGGTCTGGAAACTCTCAAAGCTGTTAGCTTTTTAGGGCCAATCACAGGGCTTATGTCATTTGTTTCTCATCTCTCAGGGATCACTCTTCTTCATTGCCTGATATACGTCTCAAAAGCCACTGTTTCATATGCAGTGGCCAGTTTTCTTTGTTGTTTTTTCAGCTTGTTTATTTTGTGTTGTTTTGTTTTCTTTTTTCAGGCAGGATAGTAAATCAGATCTCTGTTACTCCATCCTGGATGAAAAAGGAAATCTATGTTTTAAATTTTTTTCTTCTTTTATTTTTAGTACCTTGACTTTTATCCAACTAGGTGTGGTTTTCTTTGTATTTATCTTGCTCAGGGGTCACTGTAGGTTGATGTTCATCATCCATTTTTCAAAATTCTTAGCCTCTGTCTCTTTAAATACGGCTTCTATCTCATGTTCTCTCTCCTCATATTTTGGGATCTCAACTACATGCATGTTCGACTTCTTCACCGTGTTCCACATCTCTCTTTTCTGAATTTTCCATTCATTTTTCTCTCTGTGCTTCAATCTGTTTATTTTCTACACACTGTCTTGCAGTTCATTTATCTGCTGTGTCTAATATGTTAATTAATCTACACACTGAATTCTTTTTTCTTTTTTTTTGCTGCACCCACACAGCTTACAGGATCTTAGTTTCCCGACCAGGGATCAAACCTGGGCCCTGGGCAGTGAAAGCATGGAATCCTAAGAATTGAACTGCCAGGGAATTCCCTATATACTAAATTCTTAATTTTAGTTATATTTTTCAGTTTTAGAATTTCCATTTAACTCTCACTGATTCCGGATTTCTGGTGAAATTCTGTATCTTTTCCTCTATTTTCCTGGAAATATTAGTCATTTATTAGTCATAGTAACTCCAGATACTGGAGTTATGGAAGTCTGATAACTCCAATATCTGGATCACATACAAGTCTGTTTCTTCTACCTTTTATTCCTATTATGCCTTTTAATTTTGATTCAACACTGATACTATGAATTAAAAACTGTAGAAGTTTAAGACATTTTCTTCCTCCTATACAGGTTAATTTTTCTTCTATCAGGGAGGTAGCATGCAAGCAGATCTCCTCAATTCTGCTCTAGGCTAATTTTAGGTCTGGTGTGTTTCAGTGTTACCTTTCCTGCTAGGGCTTGGCCCTGCTACTGTTTCATGTGAATGTCTGGGATTGGCAGGCCTTGAGTACCGCCCTTTGTCTCCTTGGCACTATGCTGTTGTTGGAATCGTTGCCCACATTTTTAGCCTCCTGGTTTCTGCTAGATTTCTTGAAGTTTTATCCTGCGCATGTGCAGGTTAAGATTTGGCAAATGCCTCAAGGGAAGAGTGTGTCCAGGTTTTTGAGTTATTATTCCTCTTGTCCCCTCCTATCTGGGATTTTGCTCCTCAAGTTCTAGTCCTGGGCAATCATTAATCCAACCTCTGGCTCTGCCCAGTAGCACTGCTGCTTTTTGCTGGGACTCTACTTCTTGTAATGAATTGACAAATGCCTCTGGGAGAAAGCCAGAGTAAATATGGAGCTCCTCAAATGAGTCCCTTCTCTCAGGAATTCTTGTCTCTCAATCAAGTCTGGTCACTACGGTTGCCGCCAATTCCTTTAAACTTTATGTAGTTTGTTCACTTTTATATTTGCTTTTGTAGGAAGAGTCAGTCTAATGCGAGCAATTCCACTGTGGCCATAACTGCAACAGAAGTCTCTAAACAGTGCATTTTCATCTGAGGTTTTCAAAGCAGCTATAAATCAGTAATATCATTAAACTTTTAAGTTTAAATGATTAAATGGACAAATTTTGTATCTGATTACATATTCTGAAAAATACAGTTAGATGCTAAGATTTTAAACTCTCTATTATGAAAACAATCAAATGTCAATACATACAAAATTAGGTACCTGTTCATTTCAAAGCTTTATAATATTAGAAACTAATATTATGTGTTTTAAAAAAATCCGAACTGAAAACCCAAAAAATACAGAAAAATAACTTTAATAAAAATCAATTAACAGAGAAAAAGAATACGAACATTTAGTTTATTAGTATATACTGGTATCTGGGGCCCTGTGAAGAATCCATCCTCCTCTGAACGTAAATAAAGGTTTATGCATGTGTAATATTCGGATAGTTTGGGGTTTTTTTTTTTTTCTTCCAGAAAAAATTCTCAACAATAACACCGAAACATGAATGAAGCCAAAAACCTAACCGGAGAAAATAACTCAGTTTAGAAACACCTCCTAACAAGAAACTAAACCCATCAGTGGGTAATACAGGTGCTGAAAAGAGGATGTAGATGTGCAATTACCTTCTAGTCCTATAGACGGCAGGTGCCGCGGGGCTGGCACTGAGTGGTAGACGAGGAAACAGGCCAGCATGCTCAGCTGCGACTCCTCGCAGGGCTGCCCGTTGAGGTAGGCTTGCACACACCCATCACCCCCAGCTGTGAGAGAAGCACACATGGAACAGAACCAATCGATTACAGAACTGAGAGGCACAAGGAATGCCTTCTTTTTATTATTTTCTCATCAAGAGCTCATTGAGCACTTACCATATACCACACAGGTCCTGTATGGGCATTAAGGCTACTGTGGTAAACCAGACAGAGTGCCCGTCACTGCGGAGTTTAGAGTGCTGCGGGGGACGGAGATACTACATACCTAACGATGCAAACAAATGCTAATCATAAATTATGATGAGTGCCATGAGGGTGCAGTGGTCACCATGGTCGTCTCCCCAAACACCCATTCTACCACCCTTCCCTCCACTGTCACATCTGAGGGGACTGACTGCAGCTCCAGGACTGGGTCCTGATTTATCTTGGCCAGAGGTTCTCAAGCTTTAACAGGCATCAGAATCACCTAGAGGACTGATTAAAACACAGATGGGTGGGTCCCCACAATTTCTTGGATGGGGCCAGAAAAACTGTATTTCTAACAGGTTCCCAAGTGATCCCACTGTTGCTGCTCCAGAGACCACACTGTGAGAACCACTGGTCTGGGACAATCAGGGCAACCCCACTTCCCTGACACAGTGACTGGTTCAAGGACAGGCAGACCTAAGCCATTCAGAGAGACACTCTACCCCGGGGATTGATCGAGGAATGTGCACGAGTTCCAGTGCAAGCCAGAGACACAAGGAGATGCTTGAGAACATGTTTGCTAAAGGCTTCTGGGAAACAAATTCCTCATTCTTATGGCAAAGCTCCTGGAAGGAACTCTATTCTTCCTCTGAGTTGGAGGCAAGGAACTGTTACAGTCAGTTCATTGCCATCAGAAAGAAGTACTCTGCGGATAAAGCCATGGCACAGAGTGTCACTGATGGAACCTCAGAGAAATGGAGCTGGAGCCACTGGAGCGACAGCCTGCCGTAACTGTAGACTTCCAATTATATAAGTTTATAGGTGTCCTATTGTTGGAGCCAGGCTGAGTCAGGCCTTCTGTTACTTGCAGACAAAGGCATTCTGATACAGAGAAAAAGGTTGAGAGAGAGAAAGAGAGAAATAAAGATGGCAGGAAAGCTGCCTGAGGCAGTGTGGTCTTGGAAGGCCTGTGTGGAAGGGGCACGTAAGTGGAGGCTGCAAGAATGAGTATGAGTTGGGCAGGCAAAGAATGAGAGGAAAAAGGTTCTCGGGAGGGAAAGCAGCACATTCAACAGTCCCGTGGTGAGAAAGAACTCCATGCTTTCGGGGAACTGGAAGGGACCAGGGTGCCTGAGTGGAGTTTGTGAGGAGCAGGTGGTATAGAAAGAGGCTGTAGAGGGAGACAGAGGCCTTGCTGGTCATGCGGGGCCTGCTGGCCACATGGTACAGATTTTTTTCACAACTGAATCAGCAGCCTTTGCGAGGTTTTAAGCAGAAGTGTTGCATCTGTTTACTCTTTGAAAGACCACTGTCAGTTGACTAGAGACAGTGAGAGGGAGATGAGAATGAAAAGCAGGAAGACTTGCAGGAGGCTACAACAGTCGTCCAGGCAAGAAATAATCACGGTTTGTTCTAGGAGAGAAGCAGCAAAATGTGGACAGAGTTAGGAGATATTTAAGAGTTAGGACTGAAAGGATGTGGTAATGGATTGGCTACCGCAGAAGACAGGAGAGGGAGGGAGAGGAAGGGGCAAGGGTGACTCCCAGAAAGGTAACGAAGGAATGACCGTGAAATAGTGATGAAACTAAGAAAGAATGGTCGGAGGGTTTTTCTTTAAAAAAAAGAATTGGGAAAGTGTGCCGTCACAAAGGTCAAGGGAGGTCTGTTTCCATAAGAACGAGAGGGAGCGACAGGAAGACTATCAGGGGTCCACTGAACCGGACCTGAGGATGTTAGTCTGGTGGGAGTGGGAACATCTGGGGGTGGCAGCAGGAGGGGTGATAAAGGAGGCAAGAGGAGACCCTGCTGTGGCAGCCTGTCAAGAGAGGAAGGAGAGAGCACGGTTGCTCACAGTTCCTCGTCAACGACTTTCTCATGCCTACTGGCTTTTTTTTTTTTTTTTTTTTTTTTGGGACGCGGAGCGGCCACTGTTGTGGCCTCTCCCGTTGCGGAGCACAGGCTCCGGACGTGCAGGATCAGCGGCCATGGCTCACGGGCCCAGCCGCACCGCGGCATGTGGGATCTTCCCGGACTGGGACACGAATCCGTGTCCCCTGCATCGGTAGGCGGACTCCCAACCACTGCGCCACCAGGGAAGCCCTTGCCTACTGGCTTTTTGTTTCACCGATTTTCTCTACACTTTTTCTGCTTCCAATTTCACTGATTTCAGCTCTTATATCCTTGCTTTGGGTTTATTTTGTTTTTCTTTTTCTAATTTCTCAAAGAACTTAGATTAGTGATTTGAGACTTTCCTACTGTAAGCATTTAGCACTATAAATTTCCCACTTTAGCAGGAAGACTTACACTACAAAATTTCAAAATTTACTCTAAACCTACGGTAGTTAGGGAAGCAGAGTACTGGCATAAAGACAGACAGACATACAGATCAATCGTACAGAATTGAGTCCAGGAACAGACTCACACTTATACAGTCCACTGATTTTCAACAAAGGCTCCAGAGCAATTCAATGAGAAGGAAAAGTCTTTTGCACAAGTGGTCCTGGAACAACTAGATATCCATATTTAAAGCTGAGAAAAAAGAAAACTCCCAGCTCACACCAGGCATAAAGTAGGAGAACATATCTGCAAAACATATCTGACAGAGCTTGCAGCCAGAATATGTTAAAAACCCCAACACTCAAGACAGCCAATTTGCAAAGGGTATATGAATAACTAACACATGCAAAAATAATTAACATGATGAGTCATCACGGAAATGCAAATTAAAACTACAATGAGACACCACTACATATTCAGTAGACTGTCTAAAACTACAGACTAATAATGCCAAAATCTGCACTGCATCCCATTGCTGGCAGGAATGTAAAATGGCACAATTTGGAAAATAACTAACTGAGCATGTCAATGGGTGAATGTACAGATGATATAAGAATGGCAGAATGTTGATACTGTTGAAGCTGGGTAATGGGATTTATTATACTATTATGTTTACTTTGCATTATGCTTTAAATTTTCCATAATAAAATATAAAAGTAAATAAAACTTTTTAAGTTCTTCAAGTTTAAACCCATTTTCTTTGTTCAATTAAAATCCATTGGAGGAGATAAATCACAAAACATGTACACAATATGATCAATCTGCTCCATTTTCAGACTTCATGGCTATAGTTTGGGTTGCTAGTGAGCTACCTTAAAAGTCCATCTATTCATCTGTGATTTCACTGAGACACAAATATGAATGACATTTTCCAGTGCTGTCACACGGCCTCTGCATCGTCATCTAATTTATTGTTCTCCACCCCAAAGCTAATAGTATCTGTGAGGGGAGATCACATACTTAAGAGGTTTTTTTTTTTTTTTTTGGTACGCGGGCCTCACTGTTGTGGCCTCTCCCGTTGCGGAGCACAGGCTCCAGACGCGCAGGCTCAGCGGCCATGGCTCACGGGCCCAGCCGCTCCGCGGCATGTGGGATCTTCCCAGACCGGGGCACGAACCCGCGTCCCCTGCATCGGCAGGCGGACTCTCAACCACAGCGCCACCAGGGAAGCCCAAGAGTTTTTTTTAAAGTGATAGTTCTTTTTAAATAAAAAAATAAATACACATTTTTGGCAATCAGAGTGGCAAGTCAAAGCTGGTGAAGGTTACTTACAATGCTGTAACTCAGCACCACCAAATGCCCTAAAGAGCAGTGAGGAGAAAGCAATTCAGGGCACTGTTTTAGAGAACGCTCTAGTCACTGCCAAAGCTTCATCACATTATACGAAACATGCAAATCAGAGAATCTGCAAAGGTTTAAGGACTTATTTCTTATCAACAGCAAGGGTCTGCTATGGGTGATCAAACACTAAATTGAAGTAAAAAAGAACATCAACACCTATAAAATAACATGTATTTTTCTCCCAAACATGAGAACAAAATGATTATCATATTTTTAGAAATTGTGAAACTGCACGAGCTTCCAAATACCAAGAAGAAATACCAGAGCACATGCAGGTGTTAAACAGAAACACTGGGAGTTTGAAATTGCTGTTTTCCATATATATCACTCACAATCTGGTTTACAGTTAAAGCTTTTCGGAATTTTTTTTTAAAGAAACAAATAGCGTATTCACATCGGGGGAGAGATGGGTGCAGATGGGAAATAGGGAGGCAAGGGTCCCCCTCATGTTTGCCAAAAACCACTGCCCCACCCGCCTCCACCCTCACCTCCCTCCTCTGGGGTGGGGCCCTGGCAGGCTCCCCGCTTCTAGTGGGTCTCCCTCTTCCTCCTCCCCTGCACCTCCAGTGCCTGGGCAGAGCCCACCCCGGCTCTAAAGCCGGGTGAAGACAGGCTCAAACTAACGTTCTTCCCCCTTCCTCCACCTCCCCCTCACTCCCATCTCTTGTCTAACTAAAATACAGAAAAAGCAAGAGCAGCTGGGACCTGGGAGCATCAGTCACCCGGGGGCTGGGGCAGGGCAGGCAGCGGAGCCTCAGCCAGGTGTAGTGGAACACGCAGATAGCTTTAAACATAATTATATTCGAATTCCTGGGTTCTACCAGTTACTAACAACTTTACAGAATTAGGAACTGTTCCTACTGATACCACTAGAGTTAGTATTTACTCAAAGCAAGTTGCTGTCAGATACATACTGGAAGCATTAGAACTGAAAAGAATAAAAAGATCAAGGGGTTAACTATTAAAAATCAATTTCAGGCATATATTACACATCAAACAGCTTTCCATATATCAAAAGGCCCCATCACTCGCCTCCCATGATTACTTCTACACTGTCAGGAGTAATTTCACAGTCTCCCTGCAATCACAAGGCAGTGCTTCCGCTGACAGAAAGCCAGTTACATATGCCCCAGGTCCTCACTGACTGACTCACAGAACTGGTAAAAGAAGCATTCACTCTAAGTCCACATCAAGTTTTCAGTGTACACAGGGTAAAGGCAGAAAAAAGGGCCTCAGGTAGGTGACAGGCCACACCCCTAAGAAACAGAAGAGAGAGGCACTGGAAAGAAACATGATCTGATGTTAGAAAAAATAAAACAAGTTCCTAAGTGTCAAGTGGTATTTAAAATGCTATATATATATATTCTCCCCGTGGCTTATAAAGCAGAGTTAAATATATTTGTTAAAGAAGTTAAAGTAGATAATCAATGTAATTTCATCGAACTGGAAACATTACATCTATAGCCATTCGGGATTGTACTCAGACTTATCTTGCTTTCCAATGGAAAAAATGGTCAAAACAGAAACACCTGAGTCCCAGTGTAGCTTAAAAACACAAAGGGCGCAATGCTGTTATTACCTTGTAGCCACTGGTCCAGAGTATTATCAATAGTGCATTTGACAACCGGGAAGAATTCCGAGTTCATAAAGAGCCCTCGCTTAGGGTGGTTCTGCAGCCGCTCCTGATGGCTTCTGGAGCTGAAAAACTCTAACACCAACTTTATCTGCCAAAGTTCAGATGTCTCGGACATTTCTCTTCTTCCCAGTCTTCTTACAGCCTTGCAGAGAAAAGAGAAACAGCAGTCTACTTAATGAAAGAGTAAAGATGCTAACTGTCACTTCCTCAGAGTTGTATACTAGAGTATTTTTAAAATGTGCCTCATAAGATCAATAAAGGGCAGAGGGGAACCCATTCTGGGTTTTGCTGCAGTCTGCCCCACAGAGGAGCCCCCTACTGGGTTTACATACATGGCCCACTCTCTTCAAAATGAACATGAACAGCTTTCAGGTGAAAAAACAGCAAAGGCAAATGAGCTCATTCTTGGCTCAATGACTCTGAAAAATGAAGATCAATAGGTCTACAGCCAGTCACCTCTGGGAAACCCAGGTTGGGTACAATGACATGGCCAGGATCAGGCCAGGGATTCCAGGGGTCAGAAGGCAAAAGTATTATTGATAGTGCTGTTCTTGGGACCCATCTGCAAAGTCACCACGGCTGCAACCAGAAGGGATGTTCTTCTCTAGATACACACCCACAACTGCAAGGGGTGAAGAAGGTTCAGAGTGTAAAAAGAGAACACACTCTCAGCCAGCAACTAAAAAATGCAACTCATTACTTGGCTGTTGTATAGAGAGATACTATGAGAAGCAGTACCAGTGTGGACATCATATATTCATACTTATCAACCAAAAAGGTGGATACCTGACAATAATGGCATTCTAGGCCTACTCGGTTACACTGGAACTGGCCTTTTAATTAAGATTGTTACTTAACACAGGTTTTGGGGAATTATCTCCTGTGTTTTCCCACTCAGTTTTTCAGTAGAGATTATTTTTCCATTAGAGATTACTTCCTTTGACTTTAGACACTGAGTCCCAAATTCTCATCTGTGAACTCATTATATCATAGTCACTCGAAGGGCTGTTTAAAACTACAGATCCTGGACTTCATCTCAGAAATTCTGATTCAGTAACTATGGAATAGGACTTGAGGATCTGAATTGTTACGATTTCCCAGATAAATTTTAGCCAAGTTAGAAAACTACTGGCTTAGTTTAACTGCAAATTTGAGTCTGAAAGATATGACACTATTTAAAAAGCCATATTTATTACTAATAACCTAAAGTGAATAAATTAGTCCGATCCTTTAGCAAAGCTGTTGAGCATTATCTTCTGCATTACCCCTTTTAGGCTCTTTTAAAACAACAATAACACGAAAGAAATTTAAAAATGAACTCCAGCTCCCTAAATCCCCACATGCTGATGCTGTAACCTCTGCAAGCCTAATTACACAGGTGTAACTGCACACTACTGCTATCCTCAGGGCACCGTCTGTTCACTTACTGCTCACTTGCATAATCTTTTCCACGAAGAGGCTTTATCAGGAGGAAGGCAAGAGACATGAGGATGCTAGGGGAGAAAGGAAGGGAACGTGCTCTTTCTCTACTCGTCAGAGGAAGAGGCCAGAAGAGGCGAACCCCTGGAGTAACCCCACTTGTCATCATAAACTCTAAGCTATACAGAGCTTTCAACTTTGATAGGGATTCCTTTTTTAAAATTCTAAAAGCAAATGAGAAACTAAAGAGATGGACACAGAGAGAATCTTACCTCACTGTTCGTATGTTATGTGAAGTACAAGATAAATCTCATCAGAATTGGAATAGGTTTTTTGAACCATACCTGATCCATTGCTATGTATGCAGGTAACATCTCCGGGGTCTCCTGGGTCACACATTCATATAGTACTGAAGAAAAGAGATCCAGAATTTCCTGTTTCTGTGGAAAGTCAGAATCTTTTTGTAGCACATCAATGTATATTCCAAAATCAATTCAAAAAACAACTGTAAAGCAATTACTATGGCCCATTCTTAAGTTCTGCAGTGAATGATATAAAAGGGCAAAACAGCTAGGTCTTTATAAAATCAAAGTGCTTGCAATATTAAACACCAATGAAATATAACCAAAATTAAGTCCCATGGGACAGTTAAGGTTGTAAGTGCTGTGGATGAGAGGAGTGAACCACGCTGGGTAAAATGAGCAGGCAGGACATCACAGAGCTATGTCTTGGGTTGGGCTAGCAAGAACAGGATCCAGAAAGGGCGCCCAGGATCCACCACACCAAGATGCAGTAGAAACACTGAGCAGAACAGGTTAGGGGGAGCCTGCACAGCAAGCCCAGCTGGGGTTAAGGGCAGGTGTGGGCTTTCACCAGAGACCTGTGGTCTTGAGTGCAGGCCCCAGCCCTCACTGGCTGTGTGATCTTGGGCATGTGACATCTCTCAGTGGCAGTATCCCCATCTGTAAACCCACAACAATAAAGTACCTACCCTCTGGGTCAGAATTAAAGGAAAAACTTACAAAGAGTACTAAGCAGAGTGCCCAATATACAGTGAAAATTCAGTAAGTAAGTGGCAGGAAGGTTATATCACTTAACTTTCAAAGCAACAAGGTAAGGTAGGTTCTATTATAATCCCACTTTTAGAAATAAGGAAACTACATCTCAAAGAGGTTGAAAAATTTTCCCAAGGCTATATACACTTGCAGGCAATAGGCCATCAATCCTGGATCATCTAATTCCTACATCCAGTCCTTGCCACCTGAAATGATGGATTAAATCAAAGATCTATCAGCAAGTACCCTTTGAATCCTTAAGAGAATGGTTTTACGACCAACAAAAAGAAGGGTTATGAAACAAATAGAAAACAAAATTAATAAAATTATGTAAAAACAAGAGAAGGGTAGTAAACATTGAAAACATGAATTAGTACAAGAATGGACATAAAGTATCACCTATCAAAACTAATGCCTTAGGAATTTTAAGTTGTTTTCTTCTATCAAGGTAGGAAGTTACTGAATTTAATAGTTTTAGACTATGAAAAATCTATACTTGCCAAACAAAAATCATCCAATGTGCCTGAGGCATGTTATCAATATCAAAGCTACATATGGATATTTTAGGTTTTTTTGGTGGTCCACAGATAGAAACAACAAAGTCTAGCAAACCACATAACATATACCTGACCCATGTTCACAGTTGGTTTGCAGAAATATTCAGCAAATGACAATAGTGCTGGATCAGAAGTGAATGCTGAAATCGTTTCAGGCTAAAAAATAAACAAACAAGCATAAGGGAGATAATAAAGATTTTTTTTCATTACTACTCAAACTGTAACGCATGCACCTATAACCTACCTTATTTTTTTCACACAGTGTTCCCACAAAACCCAAGGTAAAACTTGCTAGAGCTTCGTCAACCTGTTCTGCTGAGAAGTTTTAAGAAACTTCTTTTTTTTTTTTTTTTTTTTTGCGGTACGTTGGCCTTTCACTGTTGTGGCCTCTCCCGTTGCGGAGCACAGGCTCCGGACGCGCAGGCTCAGCGTCCATGGCTCACAGGCCCAGCCGCTCCGCGGCATGTGGGATCTTCCCAGACCGGGGCATGAACCCGTGTCCCCTGCATCGGCAGGTGGACTCTCAACCACGGCGCCACCAGGGGAGCCCTTAAGAAACTTTTTGCACAAGCTACCGTGAGCTACTGATTTATCAAAACAGGTGCTTCTTACACAACTCACCCAAAAAAGGCTTTCCCTCTCCTTCCTTAACGAACTGAAAGGCAAACTAGAAACTAGAATTGTTACTGAAAAGGTAAGGAAAAAAGATTATCACTCTAATAAGCCACTCAAAAAAAGACAAATGCTGTCGTAAGGTCATTACAGTCATCAAAGTCAGAGAGAGAGAAAGCAGAATGGTGGCTGCCAGGGGCTGGGCGGAGGGCGAATGGGGAGTTAGTGTTAATGGGGACAGAGCTGCAGTTCTGCAAGATGAAAAGAGTCATGGAGATGGATGGTGGCAGTGGCAGCACAACATTATGAACGTACTTAGTACCAATGAACTATACACTTAGAAGGTTTAAGCCACTATATTTTTTTATGTTATGTGTGCTTTACCACAGTAAAAAAACTGGAAGGGTGAGGAGGACTGTCACTCAAGTTTCAAGACTGAAAATGGAATATGAAGGTATTACCACTTTCCACCGAGAGTCAGTTTACTTCTGAACTCCCAGCATGCAGGAAATGGAGGTGTCTTTTAACTTTTATAAATTTGCCCCATTCAAACTCAAGTCTAAACTTATCTGTTTTCTTTATAAATTGGATTAGGATCTTTGAGATGGGCCCTAGTTTATAAATCAAAGCAACAATGCTAATTCAAGTTAAACTTTGCCCCAAAATCCTTCAAAAGTATTTCATAGGGACTTCCCTGGCAGTCCAGTGGCTAAGACTTCACCTTCCAATGCAGGGGGTGTGGGTTCAATCCCTGGTCAGGGAGCTAAGATCCCACACGCCTCCTGGCCAAGAAACCAAAACATAAAACAGAAGCAATATTGTAACAAATTCAATAAAGACTTAAAAAAATGGTCCACACCAAAATAATCTTTAAAAAAAAAAGTATTTCATAGAGAATGTATTGAATACTGACAAACAAAATTCACTGATGTCAACTATATCTATTTATTCCCTGGAAACTATTATAAAGGCTCAGTCATACGAACTAATAAGTGCTACCTTGCAAAAATCTTTTATTTGGGCCATGTCTTAAGTAAATCTTAATGGATTTGAGGATTAATTATTAAGCTAAATTTTTTTTAGTGTTAAGATATATTCTGACTGTCCCTGCCACTAAATGTGAATCATCCTTAGAGTCCTGGCAGATGGTCCATATTTTATAATGGTTGTCACAGAAAACAGCCAACAGTCCCATCATTCATCCTTTATAATATGCAATGATTAGAGAGAGCAGATCTACCTGAACGGTACCATAAATGTTATCATAGAAGTACATGCTTTGGGTGGACTAGTGGGATTTGAACCTATTCCCTTTCATCATTCAATTTGGGGGGGGGGGTTTAAATTGAGATATAATTGACATATAACAGTTTATTAGTTTCAGGTGTGCAACATAATGATTCCATATATGTATATATTGAGAAATGATCACCACAATAAATCTAGGTAACATCCATCATCACACAAAGTTATAAATATTTTTTTCTTGAGATGAGAATATCCTTCAGTTTTTACCAATTACTACCTTGAAAGCCCGAGCTTCAGAGTTCCTGTTAGCAACAGTCTGGGCCAACAGACTTTGCCACCCCATTGGATCTTCCTTGTATGAGAGCTGACCCGCTCTGAGCTTAACATATAAAACCCCGTCCTTGGAAAGAATTGACCTGAAAGAAAACAAGAATGAATTTAATATGAGGTATTACTGGCAGTTGTTGGCTGGGAATGTAGTGTTTCCCAATAATAGTATTGGGAAATAAGTGAAGTCTTAAACAAGACTTCACATGAGGTGAAGTCTTCACCACTTTCCACTAAGATATATGATTATTTACTGTGTCTAAACTCAATCAGTCCCTACAACAAAGTCATAATCAGGTTCTGCTTTTCTCTGCCATCTAGATTCACGGGACCTGGTAAATAAGAAGTCATTCTGACTATTGGCTCAAGTGTGGACTTCAAAGGAGGTATTTTATCTAACATGTCTTCATACTCCCTTAAATATCTACTGATTGGTTTATAGCAAAAAGAAAAGGATGCTGCAAATCTCAGACAGAACAATACAGAAAACAGCTACTATATAGATAGTCTGGGAGAAACAGAAATGAGGACTGTACTTTAAAAACTGTTACAAGCTTGTTAAACTTTCTGGGAATTTAAAGACTTAATTTACACACTAACTGAAGTGTAAAATTATTAACACTCTCTGTTCTTCAAAGTAATTACTTGCATATTACTATTTCCGCCCAAAAGTAATCTACCATAACCTCAATTTTATGAGAGCAATATAACAAGAGAATGGTAAAGAGATGCAACAGAAGATGTGGTCTGACAAACACCAACTGTTACAAAGTTCCCTTTGTAGACATATGTAAATCAGCCTCATTTTCTTAAACTAAATCTTTCATTATTGCTCCAAAAGACAATTCCACTACTGTCCCAATTTAAGTCACTTCAAGTTTCTCAATGAATTAATATAAATAGGATTTGACTTCTAAATTTAAAATTTTACTTTCTAATACAAACTGTTTCAAAGATACAGACCACTTTATTCAACACTACATATTGTCCTGGGTGACATTAAAGGGTGACAAGGAGCATTCTACATAATAATCTATAATTTATATCTTCCCATATATTTCTATTCCCTTCACAGACACATCTGAGAAATTCTATATACTTACTTCAAGTGTTGGGTTCCCTTGCTTAAATCTATGAGCAGTTCCCAGTATCGTGGGCCTTTAACTTTAATCTGCCAAGATAAATGTAAACAGTCAATCCAATGCTGGGAAAGTGCTAGTTTGATAAAATGAAACCCATGCTTCTCAGAGGAAATAAAAATAAAATGGGCCAGAAAGAGATACTGAGAGGTTAACAAGCCCCATTTCCAGATGGACATGTAAGTGAATCATGTTCTCAGGCCATCTCGGCCATCAGTAAAGAGCCCCCAGTAAAGACCTTCTCTATTCCTCAGGACTATTCCTCCTGCGCTGCTTTGCCATTTCTTATAAAACACTGAGAAAGCATAGGCTTTTATTTAGCTATCTTTAAATGCTATGCTGTTCTGGCTGAATTTACCCCTTGGATAAATCTCCCTATTCACATCCTACTTACCTGCTTTAAAAGGTGGAGTTCTGGAAGAAGGGTAGGAGCCATCAATTCTTCTTTGGTTTGTTCATACCACTGAGTGCCCTTTACAAATGTAAAGGAAGAGTCACAGCTCACTATATAGTCAGGGAGAAGTACAAAAAGAACATCACTCTACACTTCCCCTTCCCTGCAGTTTGTAGGCAGATTGTCAAACGGCACAAAATCCTCTCTGATACTCAAGTCTGAAAGGGCTACTGTCTACAATCCTTTGCAGAGCTAGCACCACTTTCCAGCCCTCCGAGCCCCGCACTTCACCTGCCAGCAGTACTGAAGCTCTGCACTTGCGAGGCCTCTGGGTTTCTGTATGTTGTCTCCTCTGCTGGGAACGTGCCCGGTTTAGCTGGCAAATCTCAGCCCAGACACCGTGTCTACTATGACGGCCTTCCAACCCCCAGAGATGCTGGATGGGAGCACGTCTCCACTCCCCCTGCATCCCACACAAACCTCCAATTATCACAATTTCCTTAAGGAAAATGACTATGTCATCTCAACTTTGTACCCCAGAGCCTAGCACAGTTTTGATATTCGGAAGGTACCTAACAATTTTCTGAAGGAAGGATACGTGACTTGTAATCTATCTGTACATCTAAATCAAAGATCTCTCATCACATACACAACCTTGGGCTTTAAAGCACTCTGCTAACAAATCTAAGAATCATTCTAATAGAATTCGTTTTTTAGAACACTGCTATCAGCTGTGTAAAGTTAACAAGGACATTTTCAAACTACAAGCTCTAAAGATAGAAGAGCAGTTGATGGTCTCTAAAATATTACACCCATAGACTACAAATGAGCCTGAATGGACCGGCAGAATGTACAAGAACTTTGGAAGCTTCAATTTTTACATGAGTTCAACTCACTATTGTCATCTTTTAAAGGACACCACTTTCAAAATATTTTGATTTGCAAAGATGGATGAGTGGCAATAAAATTACAAATCAACAACAGGGGGAGAGAGTTACCTTATAGGTCACTTCTAAGAGGGCATAGCAGGGCGTGTTTGTGTCCACATCCACGGGCACGAGAAGTCTCGGTTCTGCAGCCAGCACATACAGGTGCCGGAGAGCCTGGAGGTGATACCTGCTCAGAGAAAACACAGAAAGGTGGTGAAAAAAGCAGGTGACGGCACATGAGCTCTACAATCTGCTGTGGTCTACGGGTTAGACCAAGTCAGAGGCAAGCGATACCTTCTCAGGACAGCGATCCTAAAGGAAGATGATGAGGCTCAATTAAAGAGTAGCGGAGGAAAGATGTGAAAACAAAGTAATGGAGAAATCCTCTTTAAAAAATTAGACACGTAACTCTTGACCGAAGAAATGAGTCTTCACAGTTAAGGGGTTTTATAGGGAAGTAAAAATTATCTAAACGTGAAAATATTTAGTAATTAATTGATCACTTATGTTAGTTTTCAGAACCTTTTCTGCTCAACCCAGGCATCTCCTTTTACCTTCTATGGGATCTACTTCTTTCTTTCTTTTTTTTTCTTAAGGTTTGGTAGGGAAAAGGGGGAAAGAAAGGATGACAGTTTTCCTCACACAGCAAAGCTCTTCTACATATACATCCCTATACACAAATACATACACACACACCCAGGACACAGTACACCAAAAATTAATGGGTAACATTTTTCTTGCTGTGTGTGTGCTTTTCTGAGTTTTCAAAAAAAGTTTTTTTTAACTTTAAAATTTATATTTTAGAATTTAAACACATATAAAGCTATTACATTTTAAGATCCCATAAAAGGATAAAACAAGACTTCAAATTCACTTTTCTTTTAGTTATATCAATTCCCTCCCTCTTCCCACCCAATCTACCCACTCCTATAAATCTACCAGAAACAAAATCAATCAAGGCCAGAAAAAACTGATACATATCAGTTACATAAAGGTTCTTGTGCTTATCACCAAATTGCTTTGTTTAAAATAGCTGATACTCTGACCAGCAACATGTGAGGGCAGTTCTCCCTTGTACCCTAACCAATAGCTGACTTCAACAACTCAAAAAACCCTTCCCTGAACTGACAAATGATAGACCACCTGTCCGAGTTTTATTAATTTAACAACAATATTCTCATGCACCACCTATCACTAAATTATGGACTTCAGATCAGGCTACTTTTATAAACAGCTACCTTTCTGTCATTATTGTCTCTGCCTTACGCTGTAGTTTTACACAATGGCTCACTGCTACAAGGAGTGCTCCCCCTCTTGAACCTTCTCTGGGCAGATCACTGGGGGTGCCTTCAGTTGAGCTCATGGAGCACCTTGGATGTCACTGGGATATAAGGAGCTATTTTCTTCCCTTCCTCCACAGAGATTGGCTAGGCCTGAAACTCATAGGGAAACGGAAGTGTTGGTGGTTCTTTCTGCAAGCCTTTCCCAAGGTCTTGGTCTTGGGGTCTGAAAGCACCTGGTCTTCTGAGGCCCTTGGCTCCTTCCTCTTGAGCTCAACTTGGGTTCTGCAGGTTCAAAGAAGGAAAAAGTGGACGCAGTAGGCAAGCAAGATGTGATGAGGGAAGGAGACCTCCACCCACTCCAAGAGGGAAGACCACTTTCCAGAGTCAGGGCCAAGGGGGTGGTGGGGCTCAGGCCATCTCTCCACCACCCACAGTGCGCCGCCGAGGCCGTGGCCGGCTTAGGTGGGGTGGGCCAGGGGGTCCCGACCAGGGCAGGAGTGGCATCGGCCCAGAGAGCGCTTAGGGAGAGGTGCTGGGGGATTCTGGTCTTGAGCCCGCCACTGGCAGATAGGGGGCCGGGGACCGATAGATGCAGTGCCCTCAGCAGCCCCGGACTGCTCAGCCTCTGACGTGACAATCTTCAACTACAACCTCTCGGGGGGTGATGAGGGCGGGGGGCTTTGCTGGGCGTGAGGAAGATGTCAGCAAAGCCCTCCTGCTTGGAATGAACAGAATGAAAGGCAGGGCCAAGCCCCAGGGACTGAGGCAGGGGCGTAAAACGCCGGATGGCGGCGGGGTCGATGAGGGCTCCAGAAGAGGATCTGGGGCTGGTGGTGGGCTCTCCGGAGGGTTTGCAGACAGGGCAGATGGCTGGAATGGGGGGTTCCAGGTCCCTGGGCAGAGGCTTTGGCTGGTGAACCCAGCTCTTCTTGCTGGGACGATGAAGCTGGGAGTCTCACTGGCAAAGCCCTCCGCTGGGGGTCTGGAGCTGGCAATGTCCTCTAGCATCACCACCCGGGTGGGCTGGGGGGCCTGGTCCACCTTTCGTGAAGGGCCCTCCTCTGGGCCAGGCGTTGTCCTTGATCGCCGCCTCAGGGTGGAAGAGGGCCGACGGACACGGCTCAAGGGCTCTCGGCATAAGTGCAGTGGGTCGGAAGGCCCGGCCTGTGGGGACCACGTGGCCTGCCTGCGTGGCGAGGCAGGTGGTTGGCTGCGGACAGAATCCTGACGTTTGCTGCGGTGCCGTGGGCTGGAGATCTCCTCTTGGGGCACGAGGGGCACCCTGTGGGCAGCCACGACACCTTCCAGGACCGTGGCCAGGACCTGCCGAGAGGCTTTTTCCAAGGGCAAAAGGGCCCCGAGGGGCTGCAGATTCGGCTGTTTTGGGCTCCTGGCTCCCCATAATGCTCGAGCCGGGGGTTGGCGGATAAACAAAATGGGGTCTATCCATATAATGGGATATTATTTGGCCATAAAGGAAAGAATTATTTTTTCTTTTCTTTTCTTTTTTTTTTTGCCATGCTGTGCAGCTTGCAGGATCTTAGTTCCCCAACCAGGGACTGAACCCAAGCCCCAGCAGTGAAAGCACTAAGTCCTAACCACTAGACTGCCAAGGAATTCCCCCCCTTTTTTAAACATATCGAAAACTTGAACATATGCAGAGTTTTTGTATTATCAGACTGCTTCTACATGTTTGAGGTTCTACTGCTCACTTCCACTTCTAAATTGTCTAATTCTTTGCTGCATTTTGCTTTTCTGTCCCTTCTTTGTCAATTATATAAAACTTCTCAGCATTCATGTAAAAGAGAAAAAACAGAATTCATATAGACATTGCCGCTAAATCAGACAAATTCCTCTCTTGGAACTAAATAATTTTGCCAAAACATATTCATCTTCTCTTAGCTGCTCTCCTTTGCATGGTGAGTTTTTCCCTGAAGATAAACCCTGTCTGGCCTACTTCTGGGTGTAGAGCAGTCCTGGTGCCTGGAGAATGGGAGAAGGCTGATCAGTCATCAGACGCCCGAAGTTCTCTTCTGGTTTAAGATTTTGTGAGAGAAACTTTTTAAAAGATTTACCCAGGGAGATAACTAAGTTGAAGAACAGAATAAAGCTAATTTGGAAACAAATCCATGGAGCCAAAACACAATCAACTTACCCCCTTAGAGAACTTAAGAAAGATCACGTGAGGAAAATCACTAGACTCACCGGTTGTCAGTGCTGTGAGCTGGGAAGTGCGGGTAAAGGGCACAGAGGAGAGCGGCAATGGAAGAGTTTGATGTGCTCAAAGAGTACCTGCAGAACAAATTCGGGAGGGACAGACGCTGTTAATCATACTGTGCAAACTTTCATGGCATTCTCGAGAATCAGGAAATTCGGGTAGTGTGGCAAGGCACGCTGATAAAGCGAACCCTTGATCAATACAAATGTGTCAACGCTGTGAACACTTGACTTTACAGTCAGTCCTTAAGGCACTCCAACACCATCTACTATTTAAAGCAGGAGTGACTATTCACAAATATTAAATTTTAAAACTTGAATTAGTAAGCAAAGTTTTAACCTAAAAGAGAACAGTAGTGAGGACCATGAGTGCAATTCTAGAGATTATAGATATTGAAAAAGTCAAGTGTAAGGTATGCTACCTTCCCCAGTTTTATATATACCTATTTATAGAAATATGCACCTTACTTCTAAACATACAAGGTTTCTTTACTGGGTATCTCAAACATTTTTTTCCTTTCTGTAAAGCATAAGCATTTCCTTAAAATGCTAGACTAAATAAAACAGGCAAAAGCTACCACTAAAAATTTACAGTGAATGGATAAACAACTATTCCTTGAAAAACAGTTTTTTTTCTTATCGATATGACAAACTTATTTTATAAAGGTCACATACTCTTAGTAAGGTAAAATCTTTTGAAATTTTCGTCTAATTATTTTACTGTTGCTCGAATTCAGCATGGCCAACAGGCAGATTTGTCTAAAGTTTTAGCTTTTCTTACAAATATTTTGAAATAAACATGGTTCAGAACATCACATAAAACCACTGTTGTCACTATTCTATATACATATATCTTTTATTATACATATACACATACACACATCCCCAAATCTCTTTCCTTATCTTTTTTAATAATTAGGGTATCAAGTAAGAATTTAGCATTTATCATACACACGTGTATTTAATGAAGAAGAGATTTCAAAATTTAAACATGGAAATATATCTATGTTGACATGTGCATTTCCACTTTACCATTCTGATAAAACCAAAATCCAAAGATAAACATTACATATTAATGTTAGAAATGTTGAGATTAAGCATAAGGCTGTAACTATGCTATGAGAAATGTAAATGTTGTTACAGAGTACACATAAGCATTCAAAGATTAAAAAAGTCACTAGAAAAGCAGCAGCAGAATGGGAGAAAATCTACTCAGTATGAAAGAAGAACAAGTAGGGTCATGCAATGTGTGATGACAAAAGATGAGATTGAATAAAGATAAAATAAATGCAGGGGCTTACTTTGAAAGGAGATAAATTTTCAAAAATCATAAAATAAGAACTTTCATAATATTTCCTTAACCACTCTTAATTTTAAACAATTAAAAGAAGAAACTTCTACAAAACCTGTCAAAAGGGAATGAATGCACACCTTTCTAATAATCTTTACTTTCTGTACTTCTGAAAAGGTGAGTTCCAATGTTTTAACTCAGTCTTAAGAGTGTAAAATAAACCTACTGACTTATAGGAAGTATGTCAGTTGTCCAAGGTCACATACTAAATAAATGAAAGGATACACCATACCCACAGATTGAGAGACTCAATGTTATAACAGATTTCAATTCCTCCAAACCAGTGGATATGGATAGACTCAATGCAACTCCAATCAATATTCTATCATGTTATTTAGTGTGGAAAAATCAAAAACAAATTCCATTATTTATATAAAATGCGAAGAGCCAAGAACAGAAAAACACATTTTTGAAGAAGAAATCTCAGTTTGGAGGATTTACTCTAATTGGATATCAAAACTTATTACAAAACTACAATACTTAAGACAAGTGTGGTACTGTGCAAGTACAGAAAAACAGACAACTGAACATAACAGCCCAGAAATAAACATATGTATATGGACACTTAATTTATAACAAAAGTGGTACTATAGAATAGTGCAGAAAGGATAAACTTTTTGATACCTGTAAGGTGTCAACTGGGGGAAAAAACACAGAAAAATCAGTTCCAGGTCAACTTTAAATCCAAATGTGAATGGAAAAGCTAAAAAACTTCTAGAAGATAAATAAGCAAATATCTTCATTTCTGGTGGATAAGAATATATTTCATCAGAAGGACAAAGAAGTACAAACCATAAAAGAAAAATATTAATAATTCTGTTCGTCAAAAGACAACATTAAGAGAGTTAAAAGGCAAGCCACAGAGTAGGAGAAGATAACTACAACATACAAAACTGACAAAGGTCTTGGGATCATAATGATAAGCTAATATGGAATAGTCATAACAAAAGAAACAGAAAGTAGGGACTTCCCTAGTGGCACAGTGGTTAAGAATCCGCCTGCCAATGCAGGGGGCACGGGTTCGAGCCCTGGTCTGGGGAGATCCCACATGCCGCGGAGCAACTAAGCTCATGTGCCACAACTACTAAGCCTGCGCTCTAGAGTCCGTGAACCACAACTAGTGAGCCCACATGCCGCAGCTACTGAAGCCTGCATGCCTAGAGCCCGTGCTCCGCAGCAAGAGAAGCCACCTCAGCGAGAAGCCTGCACACTGCAACTGAAGAGTAGCCCCCGCTCGCCGCAACTAGAGAAAGACCGCGTGCAGCAACGAAAACCCAACACAGCCAAAAATGAATGAATGAATGAATTAATTAATTTTTAAAAAAAGAAACAGAAAGTAGAACAGTGGTTGCCAGGGGGTGGGGGAAGGGGAAATGAAGTGTAGCTGTTTAAAGGGTATAGAGTTTCAGTTTTGAAAAATGAAAAAGTTTTGGAGATTGGTTGCACAACAATGTGAATATATCTAATACTACTGAACTGTACATTTAAAAATGGTTAAGATGGGAAATTTTATATTATGTATATTATACCACAAATAAAAATTTTTAAATGAATAAACCAATATGAAAACGGGTAGCAAGAGATTTGGACATCACAAGAGGAGACTTTTCAGTTGGCCATTGAAGATACAAAAAGGTGCCAAATACCATTATTCAGGAAAATGGAAATTAAAACCTCAATGAGATACTACTACATGCTGGCTAAAATTAGAAAGGCTAACAATAACAAGTGTTGACAAGATGGGGAGCAACTGGAACTTCATATGATGCTGATGAGTATATAAAATGGTAAAACCACTCTGGTGTACTGATGGCATTATTTACTGAAATAGAACATACATATATACCCTATGACCCAGTTCTACTCATAGATCTATACATAACAAAATCAAAAACATGTACAAGAACATTCATAACAGTCCCAAACTAGAAAACAAACATATCCATCACTAACAGAATAAATTAATAACTGTGGTATAACCATACAGTTCAATTCAACAGCACTGAAACATGAATAAACCAATGCTACACGCAACATGGATGAATCTCAAACATAATGTTGAGCAAAAGAAATAAAGCACAAAAGGATACATAGTATATGATTTCATCTGAATTTCAAAGACAGGCAAAACCAGTCAAAGGTGTTAGAAAGCTACGTAGCGGTTATCTTTGGGCAGAAGTAAAGTAACAGTGAATTGGGAGGGACAGAGCAGGGTTGGAGATGGGGTGTCTCGGTTACATCTTGATCTACATAATATCAAACAGATTTTCATACTGTAGGCAGTTCATTGAGTCATGCTCCTATGATTTGCACACTTTTCTGTGTATGGATTTTTATTCAAAACAGATCATTAAAAGCCAAAGAAGTCTTATAAAGGGATGAGGTGGTCAGGAATGATAGATGCTGGAAAGAGAGCAAGAAAGTTGAAAACTAAGGCAATCTCATAGGATTTGGTGACTGAAAGTGTTCATGACCATTATGAGAAAGCAATTTAGTAGAAGAGTAAAGTCATTAATGAGTGGGATCAAGACGTGATGCAATGAAGTACTGAGTATAGACTCTTCTGAGAAATGCAGTGATGCCAAGTGTGTTAGAGAGAGCATGGTAACTCTAAGTGGGGCATAAATTGGTGGTTAAACTATGAAAAAGCCCTTTTTAAGTGTAATAATGCCCTGAGATATGCTAATAGCTAGTCAGAATTGAAAATTTTCATGCATCTTCAAAATCAAAATAAGTCACTCTTTGAGATCTTGCTCATAAGATCTTTTCACTGAGGAAAAAATATATATATTCATTTACCTTCCTCCTCCCAAAAACAGAAGTCCAAGGGCCATGTGATGGGCTAAGTGGAAACCATAGTTCATTTCACCACCTGTTTTCATGTGCAAGAAGCGACAAAGCTGCAAAACCTTCAGGTTCCCCGAGCCAGCCATCACCATGGCGAGAGACAGCAGCACCACACTCAGGCAAGTCTCCAGGTTGTAAGGACCTGTCTGGAGGCGCAGAAGATGACATACTATAACCGCTGTGCTACCTTTTCTTTATTATCAAAACTAAAGCAGCCAGCATTAGACTACAAATGTTCACAGCTTTAAAAAATCTGAAAAAACAAATATTTTCCCTGATTATGAAATTTAAGTTCCATGTTGAAAATTCAGAAAATAAAGTATCAAAAGGAAATAACAATCACTTGGAATACTAACAGCTGTAAACATTTTGGCTTTCTTTTTCTCCAAATCTTTCCCTGCATCTATTTTGCTTTTAATGAAACTGAGATATTACTATACACAGTATTTTTAAGCTTTTTAATCTATTTTATTATGAGCAATCTTCACTCATAAAAAATTCTTATAGAACACGATTTTGACAGCTCCTCTATATAACAGTGTAGATACACCACAGTCCATTTTTTGACTGCTTTTAGATATTTTGATGTTTCCAATTTTCTAATATAAATAATGTTGATTAAATGTGTTGCTGCTTTTTTAACCAGGAAATAAAATCTTGCAGTCTTACTATCATCAGAGCAGCAATCCTCAAAAGCAACTGCATTTTTACTAAGTACTAATTTTTTCAAAAAGCAGTTACCATGATTCAGTACTGAGCATGGCACGGTTATGGCTTTTCTTATTTATTTTCTTGTCACAAGAATTAGATACCTTCAAGCATAGTCACATTCTCACCTAATATCCCAGAACTAAAATATAAAGATAAGTCAAAGCTTCAAATCTCCCATTCTAAATTCAAAAACTGTGCATATATTTGGCAACACATACGTAATCGAATTATCAGTGAATTTTCTTCAAGCTTAATTTTATTCCCAAGGAAAATCATCATAAAAAGACTTACTACAGAAGCATTAGGTGCGGACAAATAAGTCATAAAATCTTTTGCAAATTTATGCTGGAAAAACAAAAGAAAAAATTTAAGGTTAAAAGAAGCATACTAAGACTCTGTAAAAAAGAAAACAGAACACAGTAAACGAAGATACTTCTTACCAAACAGTTAAATGCTGATAAGTTTTCTGAGCCAGCAAATCGAAAACCCAGAGACAAACAAGCTCCTGCAATTATGTAGACATGTGCCTGCCTGAAAACAGATCACAAGGAATTTAAATACTGTCCCTGTCTTGCTTTAAAATTCATTATTACTATTATTTGGGGATACAAATAATAAATATTCCTGTTCTCTAAATTATCAATAGTTTATATTCTTCTGGGAATGCTCAACTGTGCCTCTACTCAATCAACTGGACAGATTTCCGTCCGGTTTTCTTCAGTGGAAGCACCATGCGGCTCTTGCTGATAAAGTCGGCCTCTTGCCTGCACTGTTTCACATGCAGCAAAAGAAGATAATTTTTAACAATCACTGCCAATTTTTTTAAATGGAAAGGATAAAAGAGGAATGTGTACAAGTTAAAACTCAGACACCGTTTTTTGAGGGTAAGAACTCTAAACTTCAGAGAGCCAAACGAAAAACGAACTTGTGAACATCTGGTAAATAATGGTTAGAAACATGGGGGATTCAGAATAATTACTCAAATCAAGGACAGTATTACTCCTACACAGTATATTCCAATTCATTTATCTGACAGATGCTAGAGTAGCTGATTTGTACTACATGTTTTAGGACTTACGACAAAGTTTCCAAATTCAAATCCTCTGAACACGGCAATTCGATTTCACTGAGAGAGATACTATTTTCTCTGATAATCTGTCAAGACAGAAGGCAAGAATATGTGGACATTAACATTCAAGTTACAAGTATTTAATAATTTGAAGAGTAACATATTGCTTATGGCCATATTTATATAAAATAAGCTTTACCAAACCATCTCATTCAAAGGCCTATATTTTAATCACATTGAATGCAATCCAATTTCAAATCTAAGATGGGCCAAATAACTGAATAGAACTGAACGAATATAAACTGGAGGACTTAAGTATATTCTGAATCAATAACAGAGTAATAATGTTTCATGCAAGTGAACTGAAATGCAAAGATGATGGCCACAGAGCATAGCTGGGGCAGGAGTGAGGGGAAGCAGCAAGGAAAGTGGAAAAAAGCAGTTGCAGAGAACTCTAACCAGAGACGTATATTTCTTACTCATGAATGTTTCTAGTATTAAGCCTACCTACCTACCAAAGGTGAGGTTAGTCACCAGATTAATTACACAAGCTAAACTAAACTGTCAATATGTGAATCTGTAACTATTGTTTAGAAACACATCCCTTTCCTTTTAGTATAAGTGTGAACAAGAATTTATTTTTTAAAAAATATAGACAATATCTAACTTTAACAACCAAGAACTGATTTGATTCTCTTCACTTAAATACAAATAAAAAAGATAAAGCTATATATTCTCTAAACTTATGAATGCAAGTACATAGATGTAAAACTCTGAAGATTTATTCCTATTAATTCTTCTTAGAAGACTGTTCAGGGGAGTAATACTTCAGGATGCTTTCCATAATAAATCAATAAGTATTCAGAAGTCGCTTATGATACAATCTTCCTATATACTGAATATCACCAGATCAAAAAACTTGAAATACCTTGTCTCTTTGATAATCTCAGTGAGGTAAGCAACTATGTTGGCTGTGTAATATAGGCTGATAACTACTTCCATCTTTCTTCCTTCCTCTTGTCTTTATTTTCAATTTTGGATGTATTTACTCAGAAATTGAGCAACATTCTGAAAAACTGATATAACTCCAAAGTGAGTAATTAATATATTCATGGATAACCTGATTATAACATTCATATAAATTAGCAATATCATACAGGAATGGAATATTTCTATTTTGACAGCAGACATTTACAAGCTCCTTTTTGTCTTCAAAAGAGCATATAGCCTGGAGCTTGAAGGCCTAACTTCTAATCCCAGCAGGGCCACACACTAGCCCTAGGACCACATCTGTAAAAATGAGCAAAAATAAACTTCCTACCTTCTAGGTGTCTCTGAGAATTAGAGGACTTAACCGACTCAAAGCTCTTAAAATTAATGCTTGGCACATATGCTTTGCAAGTGTTAGCTCCATTATTATCATTATTATAGATCTGTACCATTGCTATCACAAGACCACACTTGATCATAACCACTTTAAAACATCACTAAAAACTTGGGTTATAAATAACTATGGGGGGACTTCCCTGGTGGCAGAGTGGTTAAGAATCCGCCTGCCAATGCAGGGGACACGGGTTCCAGCCCTGGTCCGGGAAGATCCCACATGCCGCGGAGCAACTAAGCCCATGCGCCACAACTACTGAGCCTGTGTGCCACAACTACTGAAGCCTGTGTGCCTAGACCCGTGCTCCACCACAAGAGAAGCCACAGCAATGAGAAGCCTGCGCACTGCAACGAGAAGGGGGGGATAGGGAGGGTGGGAGGGAGACACAAGAGGGAGGAGATGGGGATGTATGTATATGTATAGCTGATTCACTTTGTTATACGGCAGAAACTAACACACCATTGTAAAGCAATTCTACTCCAATAAAGATGTTAAAAAAAAAAAAAGGAGCCCCCCACTCGCCGCAACTAGAGAAAGCCCATGCGCAGCAATGAAGACCCAATGCAGCCAAAAAACTTTTTTTAATAAATAAATAAATAAATTTATATATAAAAGAAGAAAGCATGCAGTCCAATTATGTCATAAATTAATCCTGTTTTAAATAAATACACAGCTGTGGGGGTGGGGAGCACACTTCAACCCAGTCCTTGTAACGTTTTCCATGGTCTCCTAAAGTTTAAAAAATAGCAAGAAATATAAGGAGTAATCAAAGGGAAACATGTAATCACTTAAAGGCAGGTTGAGGCACACAGGAAACGAACAAGAAAAGACCACCAAATTGCCCTGTCTTGCACAGAGTCTTATACAGAAACCTCAAGCTCTGAAGTCCTAACAGCTAGTTTCAGTTTTGCCCCACCTCTTACTAGCTGGATGGTTTTGGACCAGTCTGTCCTCTTTCAATGTAACAGTGATATACTGAACTCTAGCTACTGTGCGCAAGTCGCTAGGAATGAAAGATGGAAAAGACACGGTAGCTGGCCTTGAGAAGTTCATGGTCTAATAGATACACAAACAGATAATCAAAAGTAGTACATTGTTCCTACCCATACAATGGGGGCAATACCTGAACAATTTATAGCACAACACCGCAAAAAAGAAAAACATTAGGCTGTAGAGGAAAGCTTTTTATGAAGGAAAACGTGCTATGAAGATGCTAGTTATTGTATTTGACACATGCCTTAAATTCAAACAAATAAGCAGTTTACAAAGTGACCTTTTTAATCCCACCTTTGATGCTAAGTTGCTCCCTACAAGGGACCCTGCTACAGAATCAATGAGATGAGCGGGCGAGAACTAGGAGAAAGTGGAGAGTGACAGGCAATATCAACCAACAGAACTGTGAACTTATTATATGTCCTACTGTGTATCCCTGATGTAATAAAGACCAAATTTAAAATTATTAAGTCTGAAGTAAAATAAATATCAGAGAGATAACTTTGTATTAAAAGTCCAAGAGACTTCCGTGGTGGTCCAGTGGTTAAGACTCCATGCTCCCAATGCAGGGGGCCCGGGTTCAATCCCTGGTCAGGTAACTAGATCCCGCATGTCGCAACTAAGAGCCCACATGCCACAACTAAGTGCCCGCATGCCGCAAGTAAGAGACCGCATGCCACAACTAAAGATTCCACATGCTGCAACAAAGATCCCACATTCCACAACTAAGACCCAGCACAGCCAAATAAATAAATAAATATTTTTTTTAAAGTCCAAAGACTACATTTCCACAAAAGTTTAAAGAAAGAACTGACATGAAGTTTCACCTTCCATTTGAGAATACAGTTACTTGTGTACATGTTTAACTTCACTTTGTAAACAAAATTTAGTAAAATAAAGTTTTCTCGAAGGCAGTCTACATGTCAGATGCATCTTAAATGCAGCATAGAATTTAATATGGTGTCTTGCATTTGCAAAGGTTGAACAAACATATGCTGAATGAAGAAAAAGTACGTTTTCATCCTACAGTGTACATTTACTTTCCAAAAGGAACTGATACCTCTGACATCTAAATGTGCTGGGAGTTAAATGTCTTCCTGACCCATGAACCATGTGTGATCAGGGCAGACTCAGCCTCCAGAGGATAAAAGAACTGAACTAAAATTAGAACCGGCAGACAAGAGACAGGGTTTGACATTTGATTACAAGTAAATTAACTGCCTGCTTTAAAACAAAATGTATTTGTGTGTGTGTGAGTGTGTACACAAATACACACACAGAGATATGTATGTATGTACATATGTATCAACACTCTTTAGAGGAATACAACAGAAACTAGAGTCTTCAAAGACAACATGCACAATGTCCCAGATACAAATCAAAATTACTTAACATAAGAACAAGAAATGCAACATATTCTCAGGAGAAAAGACCATGGAAAACAATCCTGAAATGACCACACTGTTGGCATTAGAAGAGAAGGATTTTAAAGCAGTTCTTCTAACTAGAAGGACAGTATGCCCATAATGAGTGAAAACACAGAAAATCTCATCAAAAAAAGTAGGAATTATTTTTAAAAAAAGGAAAAACTAAAAAGTACAGTAAATGTAATTTTAAAATTCACTTCATGTACTTAATAGGAAAATAAAATGCCTGAAGAGTGAATGAACAGAAAGATAAATCAACAGAAACTTGCAATCTGTAGAAAAGACAGAAAAAGAATAAAAGACCAGTCATCTCACATATACACTACCAAATGTAAAACAGATAGCTAGTGGGAAGCAGCGCATAGCACAGGGAGATCAGCTCGGTGCTTTGTGACCACCTAGAGGGGTGGGATAGGGAGGGTGGGAGGGAGACGCAAGAGGGAAGAGATATGGAGATATATGTATATGTATAACTGATTCACTTTGTGATAAAGCAGAAACTAACACACCATTGTAAAGCAGTTATACTCCAATAAAGATGTTAAAAAAAAAAAAAAAGACCAGTCATCTAATTTTTGACAAAGGAGGCACAGGAATACAATAAGGAGAAGGTGTTTTTAACAAACAGTGTTGGCACAACTAAATATCTATATTTTTTTAAATGAAAACCTTAACCCTTATCCTCGTACCATAAACAAAATTACTTTGAGATGAATTACGTAATTATACATAAAAGCTAAAACATCAGGGCCTTTAGAAAATAATAAATCTTCAGGCTAGGCAAATATTTTTTCCATAGGACACAAAAAACAACCATAAAATTGAAAGTTGATAAATTAGACATTATCACATTTTTTAAATTTTCTACTCATCAAAAATAGTACTAAGAAAATGAATGGGCAAGTCAGATTAAGAGGGATATTTGCAAAACATTTATCTGCAAAGGATAGCTTTCCAGAATATATAAAAAATTCTAGCATCTCAGTAATAAAAAGATAAACAATACAAAAATTTTTTTAATGGGCAAAAGATATAAATAGACATTTCATTTAAAAAAGATATATGAAGAAGCAATAAGCAAATGAAAACGTTCTCAACATGCAAATTGAAACTACAATAAGGTATCGTTACATATTGACCAGCAGAGCTAAAATTAAAAAGACTAACACCACCAAATACTGGCAAGATGTGCAGCAGCTGCAGGACATGCAACAGCCAGCATTCTCATACACTGTTGGTCCAAGAGTAAAATGGTGCAACGTCTTTGGAAAAACGTTTACCAGTCCTTATAAAACTAAACATACTGCTACGCTATGCCTCAGTAATTCCAATACTAAGTATTTACTCAAGAGACACTAAAACATAAATCCACATGTATATCTGCAGAAGAATATTTATGGTACCAAAACCTGGAACGAGCCCAGGCATCCAACAAAAGAGAATGAAAAAAGAAACTGTGGTATATTCATACAATGGGATACTACTTAACAATAAAAAGGTTGAACTACTCATATACTCAATGGTGTCTCAAAATCACGCTGAGTGAAAGAAGTCTTATACAAAAGGGTATACATTGTGATTCCATTAAGTTCTGTATCGGGCAAAGTAATATATTTTGGGAAAAAAAATCAGAAAATTGGTTGTCTTGGGGATGGGGAGTAAGTGCACAGACTGAGTGGGAAGGGAACTTCTGGCCATTTTGATAAAGGTTTGTTTCCATGAATTTATACATTAGTTGAATACTATCAAATAGTATAATTAAAATTTGTGCAGTTCATTATATACAAATTTTACCTTAAAAGGAAAAGAAAAGAGGTAAATACTGAATTCTAGTTAATAACACACATGCTGAACTACTTAGGGAAAAGTGTATGATTATCTGTAACTAACTTTGAAATTCATCAAAAAATAATGGGTTGGGTAGAGGAAGAGATAAATGGATAGACAGATATGTGATTAAACAAGTTTATACAGTAAAATATTAATTGTAGAATCTAATTGGTTGTATGGGTGTTTGTATAAAGTTCTTTCAGCCTTTATTTTGAAATTTTCTCATTAAAACATTGGAGGGAGCACTCTAGCATTCTGAAGGATAAACAGATTTATTCTCTAAATAAAAAGGTACTGAGGACATGGACAATTAAAGGGCAATATTTAGTTACAATACTTACAATATGTGATTTGGAGTTTTTACAAAAGAGTCTGTTTATTTTTAACTATTTGGCTTATTGCGTAAACATGCCATAAAGTAATTAAAACAACTTCTTACATACAAGGTAAAAAATTGTCACAAAGTATAACAGTACTTTAGATAAATGTAACCTTATTTAGGATAAAAATGTCAAAAATACTTTTTTAGAGTTCTTTGATACATTTAATTTTTAAAAATCCGCATTTCTAGTGCTCTGTAACCGAAAAAGGAAGGCTGTGGTCTGTGCTCAGCATAAAATCTTAAAATGACAGTTCCTACGTTTTCAAGAAATACAGTAATCATAACCATCACTATTGCCTTCAAAAGAAAAAGTATTTTATAGGTTTTAGAAAATCCCACAGGAAATCATAATTTTATGTGATTAAAGATATAATAATATTTATTATACATACGTACTTGAGGAACGTTGCTATCAACCCACTTGGAATTTGGTAAAATATCATCCCACAAAATCAGGCATCGAGCAAGCGTCTTAAAAAATGCAATACAGAACAATTAATTACAGCAGGCAAAGTTCATAGATTTTGTAACAATGATAATACTGTTAATAGAACAATTTAAGAATTCGTTCCCAACTGATGAAAATTTTGAAAAACAAAGTATATAGTATCAACCTAAGCCACTCATTAAAATAAACAGAAGATTTACATTTATCTCAAAAAATCTCAAATTGACTTGATCATCACTGATGTTTGGAGGAGTTGGAGAGAAGTTTTTAAAACTTGCTCCATAGAAGAAAAATCATAAAGAAAAGAATCATACATAGATCTGTCTACATAATTTAAAGCCTTTCATATGCTAAAAGCATAAACATTGTAGAAAATGGAAAATCTGAATCAAATTTATGTCAAACCGTTACTGTAACTAATTATACCCTTAATAGTATTATTGCATTCTTAATAATAATGAAAGAATGTAAAATAAAGTAGTAATGAAGCCCCAGTGTCTTGTTACTTATTAGGAAGTTTTGAATAATAATGTGAAACGTTAAAATGTCACTCCAAGTATCATATATCAAGGTGGTTGTCTTTCCTGGCAATTCCTACAGTTATATTTGGGAAATTTCAAAAGAACACTACCAATTATATATACACATGATGGATTAACAGTAAAGCTCCCTCGTGGAGACATTTTATAGACTCCTCATGTTAACAGAAATTAAAAATTGCCAAGTACCATACCCTAAGTAAGAGAAATTCTGGCTTCACAAAGTCCAGCAAATACATGGTGTCGGGAGCTCGGAGCCAATCTGCAATGGATCTGTTGATGGTGGATACCAATAAGCGTTATTGCTCAAGAAGAGAATAAGAGCATCAAGACCACAAGACAGATTTCAAGAATTTTCTTTCCACTCCAACCACTGTCCTATTTTTTCCCATAGTACTTCACGTCCTCCAACGTAATACTTAGTATGTATGTATTTCTTACTATAAGTTTCCTAAGGGCAGATATTTTTAGCTCTCTTTTGTTAAATGAAACACCTCCAGTGCCAAGAAAGCCATGTCATATACTTTCATCCAAAAAGTAGATGAATAAACCTGTTTTTAACCACTTTGTTAATTTTGCAAACATTCACTTTGTCTAAAAAAAGAATTTACAACATTGAAAACTTTCTTTAATCTTAGAATGTTTTTTTAAATTAAAAGACTTAAAACGCAACTTACTCTTCTATACAAAATGTAAAAGAATAGGCGCCAAACATCTACTTTCAAGTGTCAGCACTAATTACAGGGCTTGAGGAGGCAGACGGAATAGCTATTAGGAAAGCTCCTGAACTAAGCAGAAACCATTTTTATGAATGGTAAACAGGAATATAATAATGCTAAGTATTTCTGATCTACCCAGGCCTCATAACAACAAGCAAAATTAATGAAAAGGAATTTAGACATTGTTTGTCAGTGACATCAACTATAAAATAAAAGTGAATAGAAAATGGCAACTGTATTATCAAATATCATTTAAATAACCAAATGTATTATTTCTAGATAAAACTCTATATAACTTGTAGTATCTGAGAGCACTAAAATCAGGCTGATCTAGCACAGGAGAGGTAAACACAGTAAAATAATTTAGGTTTACTACTGAGGTCAGAAAGGAAGTCACATGGTCATGGCAAGGGATGGGGTGAGGAGATGCAGTACCTGTTATTGGTTTTTAAGTAGATCATGGCCAAAGCGAGAGTGGCACCTGGACAAGTTACATCCACATTTATGGTATCTCCTTCCTATCAAAAGAAAAGTTTGTATAAAAGAGCTCTGAATTATTATAAAATTCTTCTGAATACTAACCTATGCTTAAAATTAACATATTTACACATGTTGGTATGAAAACTACTATTTTCAAATTAACTTCTTAGCTTCCAGAAGTTTGATCTGTTGCTTGATTTGGACTTACTTTGATTTGATAACTTGGAGATTTATGTTTCTCTCTGTGCATCCCTGCTTGAAAGCGCCTATGGCCTCCAACCATGTACTGATAAAGCTGCTCGGGCACATTGAGATCAGACATACCTATCAAATTACTGCCGTGCTGTAAACGAAGTAACAGACAAGGGAAAGGAAATTTTACAGAATAAGATCCATAACACATACCCATAACAAAGAAAACAATAAACTAACTTCAAAGCCAGTCTTCTGGGTTTTTTATCAGTTAAAATCTCATGAGTTAATACTCAGTCTGTTAATAATTCACATTAAAAATTATACAGGCAAGTTAATATTCTCATTTCATAAAATACATAAAGGCTTCAAAATACAGCTTCAAAATACAGTTAACTGCATTAACAGTTAAAGAAAATATTAGGCAGGTAAATGAATCCTGAACTATGAACACCTGAATCCTTTCATTATCGTGCCTGTGAACTAGTCCAGCAATAATAACCATAATAATAACTTACTGAACGCTTAACACTCTTCCAGGCATGATTCTGTATGTTTAACATGGATTAACTTGCTTAATATGACAATTCGATCAAATAGCTACTATTTTACAGGTGAAGAAAGGGAGGCACAAAGAGATTACGCCCAAGGTTACATAGCTAGTAAGGAGCAGCAGTGGATATAAAACAAGGCAGTCTGGTTCCACAGTCCATCGAGCTGCTTAACTACTAGAAAATACTGTAGTTAACTGATGTCAGGACTCACTGGTCAGGACCAGAATTCACGTCCCAATTCCCAGTATGATGCTTTTCCATTGTTTTATCTGCCTCTTTAGTTCATGTGTCAAATGTGAAGAGTCAAAAGGCTAAACGACAGTGGACTTTCTTTATGTAATTCAGTTTCAGTATAACACTGTATTGGTGGTTCTTCAAAGGACCCACATTCCAGCTGACGTAGTCATTTAATGCTTCTCTGGTAACCCTACACTACGTCTACTGGATGGGGTTAAAGATGGGGAGTCAGAACGCTACTGCATTCTGTCACAAAGCAGCTGCTATTGTGGCAACGTTCTGGGATACCTAGTGAACACCAGGGCACCAAAAGAGAGTCCTACAGACTCCTAAGGCTCCCCATCATACACCCATTTTCACTTTTTTCTGTTTTCTTACTGAGTGAACTGTCATTTCTTCATCTTATGTCTTGAACTCTTTTCGAAAAACTTCATTCCCTTAGTTCATTCATGAACACTTATATCTAAGCCAGGGGGGAAGAAACCTTAAAGCCCCATTCTTCACTACAATTTCTCTCCATTCCCATATCTGGCACTTTCAAAAATATCCAGAAAGAAGAAAGAGCTGAGAATCACAGTAAGCTAAGTCACAGTACGGCAGAGTGGTATTCAGAGTAAAGTGTCAAGGCTACTCGTCCCAACAAGCAGAATTTGTAACTGAAGCACCTGCAGGCACAGACTCTGCTTACCCCCAAGCAAACCATGCCCAGAGCCAAGCCAGCAGCCAAAGAGTAAGACTCTCTGTCCGTGCAGTATTCCATTTCAGGACCAGGGGGCCGTCCTATAAAACAAAAAGTAACACAATTCAAACTGGCCTCTTAAAACCCTAACTCATAAAAGTTTTAGAGTTAACTTTCTAGTAAGTTGCATAAGAACTATGGATTCAATATAACCCCACTAAGAAAGATCTGACGTTATCACAAATGGTGTCCACAACTATCAGTTTACCACAAAATAAACCCCAAACATGGTTCTTCTAATTTGCCAATCTGAAAGCAATCACTTTAAAATACTGTCAAACCTTGAGTTTTATAATAAAAAAAAAAAAATTACCAAAAAAGGCGAAAAAATTTTTAAAAGGGAGGGATGCTCAAAAAAGCTTCAATTTGTAATTTCTTTCCTTTTGTTCTTGTTTTGTTAGCTTCAAATCTATTCAGATGTGGTAAAAAATGTTCAAATACTGATAAGGAACAGGAAGGACACTTCCTTTAAGTTTCTAAGAATGTTAAATATTACGCATCCAGACACTTATTTTGAATCTATATAATACTGAGCCTTACTATGATAGAATTTCTCTGTATCGATGCTCTAAGTTTGACTGGATGCAAAATTCATACTTTAAAAAGTACGCCCTAATTCTAACTCCACCCCTTTTAGGGCAGCAAAATGTATTATATATAAAGACTCCTTCCACCAAAGAAAAAGTTCACATTCCTGGAATTTCATCCCCAGGAAAAAAATTTTTTTAAAAAGAAAGAAAAATTATACACAAGTAATCAGTGTAATGTTTATTGCTTAATTAGCAAAGAATTAAAAACCACCTAAAAGTCCTGAAAATAAGACAATGATTAGGCAATTTATAGAAAACCAACCCAATGAGCTATTCCACAATAGAAAATTAATTTTAAAAGCCATTTATGACAATGATATATGAAAAGAGCAGTACAAAAACAGTACGTACATTCTGACTGTAATTATACAAAAGAGCATACGCATATGAATCCAGATGAAATCTTCTGTATACAATGTGGAAGAGGTGTACTATGGCTGTGAGATATGTACAATGTTGGCACCATTAGATATCATTATGATATAGCCAAAGAATGGTAATTACCTTGCAGATGAACAAGCTTTAAAAGCCAGTCCTGAGTATCTTCTGAATAAGTGTTTCTCAGACCAATCACTTATGCTATTACATATTTTGCTGACAGGAAAATTTTAGTTTTGTGAATATTTCATCACTGTAGTTGACTACACTGTTGATTCCAATTCTTCACTGCCCTACAGTGCCAGTTACAAATATATCCACACTCCTGACAGAGTTTCCTCTGTACCTGAACGTGTGACTGGCTTTGAACTAGGATTCTGGCTGGCACAAGGTAAGCAAAGGCCTAAAATGCACTTCCATTATTTGGTTCTCCCTCTTGCCCTTCTCACATCACCATAAAAGAAGGCTGGGTCCCAGAATAAGGCATTTGGAGCAGAGTCTGAGCAGCAGACCCATAGATCTACAGCCTGAAGCAGAGATGCCCGGGAAAATTTTGTGGCTATCCTGAAATATATGTAGAAAGATCCTGAACAGGATAGAACAAGACATGCAAGTATGTATCGAAATTACTGAACGTACCAATAATACTAATAGCATTTCCATTTCTCAGAAGATGATGATAACACGTAAGACACGTTTCCAAAAAAGGCAGACTTACGATAGAACATAAAAAATGCCTTTTATCATGAACACATCCGCCAGCATATAGAGGAAAGCCGGAACCAATCACTTCCATTCTGTTAGAAGTGTTGTTGTCCAACAGAATAAACATTGTGCTTTTAGGGATCAAAACAATCAACTTTGAATTTTAAGTGTAGACCATTGCTAGACATTGCCTGGCAAAGACAGAGCAGGATAAGCAGCATGCTCACATGTGATTAAGACCTTAGGCTACCTCGTTAAATGGGACCACTGGAGCTCAGTAATGGGCTGGCCAAGTAAGTATGCAGACCAGTAACCTGCATAGTAACATCAGCCTTGGAAAACATTACTTTGCACTTGTTTTCTTTATTAGTATAGCTCATTCTATGCTCACAAAAGCTACTATTTTTTCCTTAATTTTTATAATCTTACTATCATTTTTACTTTGGTTCCTGTGGAATGGTAAAAATACACTTACGAAACCAGAGCACTATTAATGCCATACCTATTTCAGCCAACAAGACTTCTGCGGTATGCCTATGAGCTGTCCCTTGATAAACAAGGCCGATGCCGACCACTGCAGCCACTTGGACGTTGTGAGGAACATCAAGCTCTGTGGACGTTGGGGGCAGGAGAGCAGGAATGTGGATGCTAAGAAGCCGTGTAATCGACATATCCATGGTGCCTAGTTTAGCAGCAGAAACACCAAGGAGCAGTCCAATGCTTGTCATCTCATGACCCTAAGACAGAAAAAAGAATGAGACTTAAGTCACTACCAAAACAAATATGTAGTTTTAAATAAAATACTGCCTGCCAGTACTGTGACAGGCACAGTGAGAAGCTCCAAGAATACACAAGCAAACTAAACAGACAGGTCCTTGTTCTGATGAAGTTAGTGCCCTTGGGGAAGGGAAAGTGTTAAACTAAAAAATATATATTATTGAAAACTCATCAAATGAAAAAGTATAAAGATTAAGAAAGAGTACTTTAACAGAGCCTACTTTAGATTAGAAGGGACTGGAGAATTATTAAGAATCTCTAGGAAGTAAAATTTACAATAGAATGAGTACAAATTAGCCAGGCAAAGTGGCAAGAAGGGAAGGCACTCAAATTTACAAAGTGAGAGAGAATGATGACAGGTGAGGGAAAAACATGTAAATCATGCTGAGATGATTAAAAAAAAAACCCTCACATTGATATTCAATTGACTACAAGGGTGCCAAGACAATTCAATGGGAAAAGAAGAGTTTTTTCAAAAAATGATGCTGTGATAACTATACAGCCACTTACAAATGAATGAAATTGGACCCCTTCCTGACATCATACATAAAAATTAACTTCAACTAAGATGTAACTAAAAGTAAAAAAAAAAAACTCTTAGAAGAAAACTTATGCTATTACATATTTTGCTGACAGGAAAATTTTAGTTTTGTGAATATTTCATCACTGTAGTTGACTACATTGTTGATTCCAATTCTTCACTGCCCTACAGTGCCAGTTATAAATAGGTGTATATATAGGTGTAAATCTATGTAATAGATATTAGATACAAAAGAGCATACGTATATGAATCCAGATGAAATCTTCTGTATACAATGTGAAAGAGGTGTAATAGATATAAATCCAAGTGATCTTGTGCTAGGCAGTAACTTCTTAGATATAACATCAAATGCACAGTAACCAAAGAAAAAGTAGATGAATTGGACTTCATCAAAATTTAAAACTTTTGTGCTTCAAAGACACCATCAGAAAGTCAAAAGACAACACAACGGCAGAAAATTTTTGCAAATCATGTATCTGTCAATGGACTGGTATTCAGATTACATAAGGAACTCTTACGACTCAACAACAAAGACAGCCAATTAGAAAATAAGCAAAGGATTTGAATAGACATTTCTCCAAAGACGACATACAAATGACCAATAAGCACATGTAAAGATGTTCAATATCATTAGCCATCAGGGAAATAAATGCAAATCAAAACCACACTGAGATATTACTTCACACCTACTAGGATGACTATAATTAAAAAGACAGATAATAACAAGTGTTGGCAAGAGTGCAGAGAAACTGGAACCCTTATGTATTGCTGGTGGGATTACAAAATGGTGCAGCCACTCTGGAAAACAATTTGGTAGTTCTTCAAACTTTAAAACAAAGAGATACCATATGATGCAGCAATTCCACTCCTAGGAATATACCCAAGAGAAATGAAAACATTCATCCACACAAGAATGTGTATATAAATGTTCATAGTAGCATCATTCATAACAGTCAAAAAGTAGTAATAACTCAAGTATCCATCAACTGATGAATGGAAAAATAAAATACGGTATATCCATACAATGAATATCTATTCAGCAATAAAAAGGAATGAAGTGCTAATACATGGTACAACATAGACAAACCTTGAAAACATTACAGTAAGCAAAAGGAGCCAGTCATAAAAGACCATATATTGTTTGGTTCCATTTATATGAAATGTCCACAGTAGGCAAATCCATAGAGACAGCAAGTACATTAGCAGTTTGCCAGGGGCTGGAGGGAAAGGGGAACAGAGAGTGACTGCTACTAGGCAGGGGTTCCTTCATGGGGTGATGAAGATGTTCTAAAATTAACAGTGGTAATGGATGCACAACTCTGTGGATATAATAAAAACCACTGAATTGTGTACTTCATATGGGTGAACTTTTATGGCATAGAAGTGGAAAAGTTTATGCCAAGAGAAAGAGTTTGGTCGGCCAAGGAGCTAACACAAGCAGTCTCTATGGCTGGAGCATAGGGAGCAAGGAAAAGAGAAGCAACAAAGTAAGGCTGGGGAAGTGCGTAGGGTCACACAGGCTCCTAGAATGTACATTAAGAGCAATGGAAGATCACTGAACAGTTTGACCAGGGAAGCGATATATTCCAACTTACACTTTAGAAAGATTTCTCTGCCTGCTACGAGAAGAATGCACTTAGAGGTACAAGATTGAAGAAGAGCAAACAGAACAACTAGGAGCTACTGTAATAGCCCAGGGGAGGCACAACGCCAGGAGCTGGCAGCACAAGTTCTCACCTTGGTCAGGTAGTCATGGATATTGAGAGTAGCCAGCTTGGTAAGGTGCCCGTTCAGACCCAGGGCCATGAGAAAGCCAGCATACTCATTGGCTAACTCGGCGTGCTTGGGCTTATTGTAGACAATCCAGGCTGAGTCAATCTGGGAGGCAGGGGCTATCTTCAGGCCGGCAGCCACACCATTATGGAAACTGGCCCAGCTGGTCATGTTGGGAGGCACATCGATGTTGCCGCTGTTCAGGTCTACTGTTGTGTTCCGAGGGGGTGCCCGCCCTATTCAGGCAAACAAAATTTAAAATTGAGAGAACAAAAATTCAGAAACCAAAATTGTTACATTTAGATTCTTTGAGAACAGAGATCATTTTTCTACATTCAAAACCCTTAACCCCATAATACCTGTAATGATGTTAGGTTACTATGCATACTTAAAGTTTTATACATGTGAGTCAAACTTGATGCAAGGTAGAAAAACCTTAACTGTATAAAATAATTCACTGTCCTTTCTGCTAAAATATATGGGACTATAATAAGATAACTGATACCAATTTAACTGTGTACAGATCTGATTAGGATACCCACTGCTTTGAAATCTGTCTTTCAAACAGCAGGGAAGCTCACCGAAAACTAAAATGAAAATTAACATCGCAAACTACATGAATAATAATTCCAACATGTGATTGACAACAATGTTAATTTCAAATGTGCCATCCCATCTTTTTCTCTGGACGTTACGGAAAAATGATTGTTTTTAAAAAAGACAAGGAGCTTTATAAATTTGCTCTATCTCTTATCTATACACCTCTCTATATGATATAGAAATCTAACTACACACTATTGGTAAAAATGCCAAATTGCATTCAAAGATACCTATATAAAAACATTTTATACACTTGAGTTACCCAGTGAACCATAAAAGAGTATTCACTAAATTTAAATTTGTGGTCAACTTATTTAAGAACAGTATAAATTAAATGTTCATGATGCTATGTTCTCTTTGAACGCCTTTTCTTGAGTGTTTTGACTACACTGTGTACCCGCAAATACTGAATTATCTCTATATTTTTAATATTCTGTATTAGCTCAAGTCATGGATGACTATTTAAAATAAATATTCTAAATACAGTAAGTCCCTTACATATGAACTTTCAAACTGCTAACTTTCAAAGATGCAAATGTGCGTTCACGTGTCCAATCCTGTAAGTTAGTTCACACGTCTGGTGTATGTTGTCACGTGTGTGCATCCTCTACAAGTGGTTGTGCTTTTGTGTACTTTACTGTACAGTACTGTATAGAGTACAGTAGCACAGTATCTTTATTTCAAGCCCAGGATGTCCAGAAGCAAGCATAAAAGCAGCAGTGATGTAGCTGGTACAGTGTAGCCAATTGTGTTAGTTGGGTATCTAGGCTAACTTTGTTGGACTTACGAACAAATTGGACTGATGAACGTGCTCTCGGAACGGAACTCGTTCATATGTAGGGGACTTACTGTATTGCATACAGTTATACAGTTCGCTAGAGGTTTGAAAATATGGTTTTAAAGGCGTTCTGAAAGTTATGTAAATTTTAATTAGATGCATAGTGTCTTGTTTGTAGTCTATATACACATACACACACATACACAGACACAAGCATAAAATAAAATATATTTGTATTTACCATTTGCTTTTTGTACCTAAGAGCTAACTCAAATGCTGGTCTGTGATAGCACCACACTGGTGACAAGTTCATGAGTTATACTTTTACTTTCTCAAAAAGGGCAGAGAGATTAATAATGAAAAAGCAAGTAAAATTTCTAAAACAACAATTCAACATATGTATAAGACATAATTTTTATACACAAGAGAAAATAAAAGGCAAAGGGTAAAACAAATTTTCTTCAATAAGAATAACTACATACAAAAGCACAATAGGCCAAACCAGTGTCAGTTAAGGAACTAAAGTGAACGTTTTTTTCCTAAATGAATTTATTATTAAAACAAGATCATCTTTTGGAGGGGGGCAGTGCTGGTCTGGGAGGGGGTCCTACCAGAATGACTAAAAGAATAAAACTTTGCATCAATGTCATAAATACATTTTAAATCATGCAAATTTAAATGCATTCAGAAAAAAAGAGACAATGATTCATGCATTTACTTTTTAACATCCACCCAGGCATTACCGGCCAGATTTAATACATTTTAACATTTGCCAATTTTGCATGAGATTTTTTTTAACCCAAACCTTTTATATGAAAACACTCAGTTAAAAGACTAATAAAATGAACACCTATACACAGTACCCTCCATCAAGATTCACTAATTGTTCTGATTCTGCCATAGCTGTTTTATCTCTAAGAGAGAGAACAATTAAAATACTGAAGGTAACTCTGTTTGCTGTGTCTGTCAATGAGATTATGGCTCCAGAAAAGGTGTGATATAGGATACGGGAATGTGTTCTTCACTAGCCGATCTCATTTTCTGCATGCTGCTAAAAACACAAGCTATTTACAAATCTCAGTGGGACCCTGGGTTTTTTAATTATGTAACTTAAAATATGGTGGAATGGTATTTGCATATACTACATCCTATACACTACTGTATGTATCATACATAACGTTTTGTACGGGTCACGTATACTATATACTTTAAGGGATTTTCAATAACAATTTCAACTGTATATAACTGTCACATTTAGTATACATTCAAACCAGATCAGGTGGATGTGCACTATAAAACCCATTATAATCAGTAAGGTTGGGAAATAAGTACACTTATGTCTGGCAGAAGTAAAACCTCATGTAACCAACCAGAAGGGAAATTTGACAATATGTTACATCAGTCTTAAAATCTTGCTGATAAGATAAAAGATAAATATAACCCAACAATACGTTTGTAATGGCAAAAAACAATAATTTCCAAAAATACCAGGTGGTTTATATAAACTATATTCCATTAAGTGAAATATTCTGGAGCAAATAAAAATGAAGTTGTTGACTAAAAATGTGTATAAAATACATATACATAATTGTATACTTATATATGCTAGATATAAAAGGATGCTCACTCACTATATAGTAAATTTTTAAAAACAATTTCTAAAACAGGTTTAAATTTTCTGATAAACAAATATAAAATTATAAAATGGAGAAATAAAATTGGGAAACAAATAAACCAAAGTGTTATTTAACACTAGTGAACTCTAACAAGTTGGGACTACTGTGAGTGACCATTTTTTCTTTTTGCTTAGTATATTTTCTTGCTTTTGTACAAGCATCATCTATTCATGCTAATACATAACAAGACATTTTAAGACTAAATATTCTTACATATTGACTTTAAGATTATTTAAAGTTTAATAATCTCACCATTCAATAGTATCTTTCTAAACTTCCCCAAGTGCCTTTTTATATCTTGAAATGGTCTCACTAAAAACAAAATTTAGTAATGGGCTATATTCTACTTCCCTCAATGTTTAATTTGATTTGCTATTTGAGCTTTGATAACCACTACAGTAGCTATTAACAATAATCACTACAGTAGCTATTAACAATATTTAAAATCACGGGGGATAGAGCATTTCTTTGGTTTTAACTACAATGATTCAAAACAACTCCACTAAACATATACCCATTTTCCTTTCTCACTGAGCCCAGAATTTAACATACCAGTCAAATTCAACTTAGGAATAGGCAATGGCTCCGTTGGAACAGGATGGTATGAAAACAAGGTAAACATCCCCCGTCCTACTGGAAGAGCCATAGTTCGCTGACACAACTGGAGCAATCTATAATTAAAACCAACATGTGAAAAAATTTTAAACAAAAAAACCAGAATGTAATCTGTAGGCAAGTATTTCAAAAGCAGCAGTGCTGTGTAAGATGAAGCCACACTGAAGTAAATCCATGCAAAGTCTTGAGTGAGTCATCTAAACACGGCTGTTCTCATTCTAACACCCTTACTCCCATCAGAAACTCTAAAGGGGAGACACATTTCTTTCTTCTGTTTCATATTTGCTTTGAATTAAAACCAGCTGTTCTATAAACCAAGCCAACTCTCCCTAAGTATTCAAAAAGCAAAACCTATAATTCTACTCTAAATGATGCTAACCCTCTCAGAGGAAAATATCGTATTTGTTGGGTTTCCTCATTGTGCTGTTATCAGTTTAGCTGGGATCCTCCTCTCATCCTTTTTGTGAATATAGCCCAAGTGCCACCTCCATGGGTGCACACAAGGTAAAAAAGGAAGTCCCTGTTTTGGAGGTCAGTGGATTTCATGGTGTCTCCAGGAAACACAGGAGTTTCATTTACTTGATGGTAAGGACTTCTAGGACTAATAGCACTATATGTCAACTATGTTCAAGGTTAAAATGGCTTCTACAGGCTATACTTTGAAACTAATAAACTACTTTTTAAGTTGTTTCTATGTTAAAATAAATGGCATCAAACAGAAATTGTGGAAGCAGGGGCATTCATAACCAGGAAACACTTAACACAAGTTATATCTGAAGACAGAGAAACAGCCCTCCTCCTTCTGACGCTAAGCAGAGGCTGAAATCCTCTCTGCAGACAAAGTTATTCACAAGCACCCTCTCTCCCTAACTGTAAATATATATAGCTGCTTTTCTAGTTCATTGGTGAGGAAAATTTTGCTGTCCTAAGATTCTCTGGGAACACTGTTCCACATTAATTTAAAATCAGGGAAATTTAGAATCAGGCCAGCAGACTACATTCCATAACATGTTTAGCAGAAACATTACACATAATCTACAAAATTATAATAGTGAAAACAAAGACAGTATATCTCCCCCCTTCCATTTAAGATGCCACTGATTTTAAGATGCAGCACTATTTCATGAGGTACTAAAAAAGAAAAAACACTGCCATTTAAACCATAACACCTACAAACACCTACAGATTGAAAGACATAATCTGATTTCAGAAATAGTAAAAGGTACAAAAAAAAAATCAGCATCATACAATCAATGAACTCTGATAATAATCGCTGACTGCATCGAGCTTTACTATGTACCGGGCAGTGTTCTAAGCACCGTGTAGAAATGACCGACTTGATTCCCAGAGAAACTCTGTGAGGTGTGAATGCTACAGTCATGCCTATTCTTACAGTTGAACAAAATGAGGCAGTACTTAATGTTTTATTTAAATTTTTACTTAAATTACAGCAGTTAATGTTTTCCTTTACCTGTTCTCTTTTTCCTCAATGAACTCGTGGTCACTGAGCTCTGGGTACTGCACCACATTGACGCGGACAGGATGCGCACTCTGAAGAAGCCTTCGCACATCCTGCACCCTTAAGTCTTCACTCCATATTAGTGACATCACCTCCTGATTCATGTCATTCATGCCATCATCTTCCTCCTCAGTTTCTGTTCCTGAAGGAACATCTGATGAGAGCACCTGAGTAACAGACTAGGTTGTAATACTAATTTAAAAACCAGCCAGCACACACTTACTGAACATGAGGATACACAGGATGAGGTACCAAATCTACATCAGTGCAGAGAAAAAATATATCCCAAAGCAGGGCTGGCTTGGGTTCCCAATACATACTGGGACTCTAACCTAAAAATATATATTTTTTTAAGTATAATTATATTGCCCACTTGGAAACATTCTTTACTGAGCCAAGGGGAAAGCTTTCAACTTACGACAATAGTCGGGAGGCTGATTCCATTGAAAGATATATTCTAAATAAACTGTAAAACTCTTAACTATATCCTAAATATTCCAAAAAGGACACAAATTACTGCAAACGGAATATTAACCCCACGCACTAAAGAACCAACACCAATTTAAATACTGTCTTTAATTAATAGAAGCAGAAGGAAACAACCTGGAAGGATATAAACCGAGGGCTGGAGGAGGTCAGACAACACTTTCTCACTTCTGTACTTTAAATAGAATAAATCATGGTTGGTTTTCACTTTTTTTTTTCCTAAGTATGTTCCAACTATTTCTTAAAAGGGATTAAATGAAGCAAAACAAGTGAGGAGAGTTAATTCCTTGCTTATCATTCTGTCCTCATAAGCTCAGCATGTACTTTCCTATGAGCCTTCCCAGTCCAAATAATTCACTCAGACCTTAAGATAGATGTTAATAGCAGAAATCTCATTTTCTCTCAGAGTTTTAACTCCTTTCACAAAAGGTTAACTCCTAGGTGAAATGCTAAAGCTTTGCAACATTTAATGTGGAAGCGACATTAGCCTGAAAAAAGAATAAAGGTAGATATGACTAGATAATCAGTCTGACTTTAGTTGATAAAAATTTATTATAATTCTTATGGAATATCTAATCTTAAAAGAAGCTACATTCTAATAGGTGAGTTAGCAATAAGATACAGACCCAAATAGCTGATAAATTTGAGACGAGTTATAAAATGTAACCTCAAATAACTGAACAAATTTAATTTAGCCAGAATTACTTAAGATGACATATAAATATAAATGAATAATTATCAATACCATTTGGCTTTAGTGCTAATGATGTCCTCACTCACTCACAGTAATGAAAGAGGTCTATAGATGCTAAAGACTTCTCTTGGTCAAGGTAAAGATAACCATACTATTAGCAAAAAGATTTGGTTTTCTGTTTAAAACAAGCCAAATGCTAATTCAACTAAGAGTTGTTATTTCAGTGCAGATTAAAAGACAGGTGTGCTGGTACAACCCTGCTGGAGATGGGATCCCCCATGGAAACTGCTTCTGTCACAGATCCATTATACAACTCTGATGTTGGGAATAAATTTTGATAACAGTCTCTGAAGAAGCGTTAATAGCCTAAGATCTAATGTGGATTATGAACAGTTATTGATTATTGATTATTATGTGTTGGTTCAAAGGTTAATAAGAGATGAGCCAAATCTGCACTGTTTTCTCAGAGACATAAAGTACCAAAGTCACCAGGGGTGGAATAACCATCCCTGAATCCTCCTTGATCCTTAGAGTAAATGCAGTGCTACCATTTTTTTTTTAAGTTAACTGGAGTTCTAGAAGAAGTTTTCAAAGTTCCATTTTTAAGTTTTAAAAGAGGCTGATTTTAAAAAGAAAGGAGGATAACGATATATTTCACTTTCTATTTGTAGGGTCTAAGGACCCATTCTTAAAAAAAACAGATTTGAACATTGATGAAGGGCACTGTTTGAGGAGGGATAACATTAAGACAGCTTCTAAACAACTTTAGTGCCCCCCTGCAAAAAAACCTTTTTCCTGGGGCTTCAGTTTTATGTGATTAAAGATATATTTACACCTATGTAAAAGGTTAAATTTAAGAAATGTAACACATCAAAAAAGTATGAAGGAGAAAATAGTTATAATTTATTCAAATTCAGGACATTATGTGCTCTCCCTATTTCCACATAATAATTACAAAGTAGTTAATTACTAACATGGTCCAAGCAGGGAATCAGTCATGGTAGCTGCTCTGCTGACTCGGCACTTGTCCTGACTCAAGGCACAGAAGGGTCCAGGCAAAACAGAGCATTCACAAAATCTGTTCCCATGTTCAATTTACAATTAATAAGATTTGTCCAATTTTAAACCGTATCTAGCATATAATATAAAAGATAATCTGATATACACACTTGCAAAAAGACTTAAAGGAAAACGGAGAATATTTCTACTCTGATTTTACTGAGGCTAAATCTGAATATGGACTTTCCATATTGATACTCACAGATTTCCCTTTGGGCAAGTTTCCTTCACAGGCCTGCTTGGAAAGATCCTGACGCCCAATCAAGAGGCAAACAGCTTCTGGCCAGTCTGAAGCAGGCTGCTCCCGACAGTGATAAATCGCATCTCTGATGGGAAGAGCAATTCCAAAGGGAAGGGTTTCCAAGTCTCTTAAAGCGAAACCTTGTGGTGAAAGGAAGGGGGAAAATTTTTCACTTAGACTTACCACTGTCCCAATTATTCTCTGAGTGAAGTTAGTAAACTCTATCCTAACAAATAAGCAAGAAACTGATTTTATTCATCTTACTACCAGACCAGTGTCTTGACCTCAGGGATGAGTATAAAATTTTGTTTTAAACAAAAAATTCCTAAAAACTTTAAGAGAAAGACAAACAATCCAATAGGAAAAACACAAAGGACAAAAAGACATTTCCCTAAGAGGAAACACAAATGGTCAATAAACATATGAAAAGATGCTCTATCCAATGAGTGATCAGGGAAATGTAAATTAAAACCACTAGAAAATAAAAGTTCACACTCATTTGACAGACACATATTAAAGTCAATCGATACCAAGTGTTGGTAACTATGTAGAGCAAGAGTAATTCTCTTCCACAGCCAGTGGTGGTGTATACGGGTCCAACCACTTTGGAAAACATTCAGCACGTAGAGTTAGGTCCACCCCTACGGTCCATCAACAGACATACAGAAAGTTGTGTACATGGCACCGGGACATAAGCATTAAATTATTCATTAGTAATGTTTCATTATGGCAAAAAAGGGAAGGGAAGTAAGAGCCCAATTGCTATCATCAATAGAAGGGATAAATAAGTTGTGATATATTCAAGCAGTAGATCATACAGCAGTGAAAATGAATGATCTTCTGCTACATGAGTCAACATGGATGAATCTTTAAATAATAATATTGAGTGAAGAAAATAAGATAGTAAAAAAACATGTTTATATTTATATCTATTTACATAAAGTTAAAAAACATACAACACTAAGCAATATATGAAGTGATAAAACTCAAAAAAAAAAACCTCAAAAAAAAATGACAGAAGGTAATACAAAATTTAGGTAAGGTATGGTACAGGTACTTTACCTCTAGTGATGGGTGTATGAGAAAGGGAGGCCATGCAGGAGTAGATCCACAGGGCTTTCTAGTACACTGGCAATGTTTTATTTCTAATTGTGGGTCACCAGGACATCAATGTTCATTTTATTATTATTCTCTAAATACATTTTATACACTCTTATATGTACACCATATTTCATTTAAAAGAACTTCAAATCCTCAGGTTAATTAATTTCTTCGGTGATAATTTTCTAAATTTTGTAATATTATACGTTATTTATTAATATAGAAAGTTGATCAATTATTGAGGTTAAGTGCTATGTACTATACAAATGAACAGAACTCATATTTTCAGCATAAGTGTCTCATCTGTAATACTATATGACAATTATTGCAATTGTCAAGGAAGCATACACAAAAGTACAGGGAAAAACTAAGTCATTCAGAACATTCCCTAAATAAGAATTCAGAAACATCCTGTAATATTCATTAAAGCATTACCTTCTAACATACTACTCTATAACATTCTCCTTTTCTACGTTTTCATATCAGTAATATTTTTTAAAAATTTTAGTTCATTTTTATAGGAAATTTTAGTATTTTACTCAGCTTAAAACCTAAAGGCACAGGCTTAGGAAGAGAGAATAAACTCTTTTCCTTTCCCTTGTCCCAGGTGAATCTGCCTCTTGGTGCATAAAATCCCTGGCCTGTATCATTCAAAAGCATACCCTGAAATATTTACACATTACTTTTAGATTTTGCCAGAAATACTCATTTCTGATAGCCCAGATATTAGTATAGGGAAGCTGTGAGACTGTCAGGGAAAGGAAGGGTGGCTTGATGGGCCATCATCTCCATCCTGTGGGATCCTTCTGTAGAGCGAGAGGCCCTCCCTTCTCACGCCTTCCAGCTCTAGTGAGCTCTGAGGACGCAGGGCCTACTTAGGAAGGAGAGCCCAGGGAAAGGATTTCAAAGACACATGAAAAGTAACAAAGACCACCTTACCTACATTAGTCATCCAGACGACTAATCTCTCAGCTAGACTAGAAACTGATGTAGAATGCCTGAAACTAAACCTATAAGAGAACAAACATGAAGTTATTAAACATGAAGTTATCAAACAGGCTGTGTAAAAGCACAATCTGAATAAAAGTCACCTGTTCTCCTCTTGCTCTGCTTGTGACTTCTGTGGGGCTAAAACAAAACGAAACTTTATTTTGATAGTTATCCTGGTAAAGAAAACACATAACATATAGAAAACATTTGCAAATAAAAATTCATTAATAAACAAATGCTAAAAAATAATAAGCAGTACTCTGGCAGGCTGGAAAGTATAATCATTTCCCTGGGGCTAAAACAGTCCTTTTTAGGCACACTGAAAATGTAAAATTTGTTAGATTTTAAGCAAACTTGGTCTCTAAAAGTCAGATGTGGACTCCAGACTAAAACGGTGCAATTATGTCACCTCTAAAATGAAGCAAGACATGGCCTCTGAAGTACACTTGGAAAATTTTTAATTTTTTTTATTTCAACTCTGATATCAACATCTATAAAAATTTGTTTGGGGAAGCTTAACATTAGACTGACTTACCTATACTTATTCTGGATAAATACTGTGAGGATTCATCAGAAACAGAACTTTCATCACCAAGTATGTAGAGTGCAATACTCTGCATAAGGAGAAAGTTAACATTTTTTAAACTATTGGGGCATAATTACATATAGGAAAAGTCACCCACTTTAAATGTACAGCTCTGTGTTTTGACAAATGTCATACAATCATATAACCACTACCACAGACATGATACAGAATGCCCGCATCACACCAAAAAGTTCCCTGGTGCCCCTTGGAGTCAATCCACTCCCTCCCCTACACCAAGCAGTGGAAACAACGCATCTTTTTTCTCTCCCTAAATTTTGCCTACTCTACAATATCATGCAAATGGAGTCATAGAACACGTAGTCTTCTCTGCCCTACTTCTTTAACTCAGCACTCCTTTGAGATTCATCCACGTTACTGCATGTATCAGTAGTTTGTTTCTTTTTACTGCTGACGAGTATTCCATTATACAGGTGTACCAACCTTTGTTTATCTACTTATAAACTGATTGACATTTGGGTCATTTTTGGTGAGGTACACCCTAACTCTCTACCCCTCTAGGCCTAACCCTTCTCTGCTTCAGCCTTCAAAGTTCTCGTTTGAATACTTGCTACTACCACTAAGATCTACGCCTGCAGCTTTTTTTTTTTTTTTCTGAAAGAAAGTAGCAGCATGATCTTATTAAAATTTCAGCACAATGCTGGAGGATCTTCAAGTCCTACATTCTAAACCAATACAAGCACTGCAAATGATATATTCCTAAAGCTAGCTGACATCATATCTAACAAAGATATAATATGAATATCTACAAACTGACCACTATTATTTAAGTTGGAGGCTGAACAACTCTGGCTTATTCATATTTCTCTAGCTCCCTTTTGGGTAGATATAACACTGAGTCTAACCCATTTCAGCAGAGTTGGACAGGACCAATATATCTGGTGATTTCACCTGAATGTTTCCACACAAGCAGCAAGGAATGAAAAAGTTCTGGGATTAAGCTGCTCTTAATACATTATGAATGTATTTAACATCACTGAATTGTACACTTAAAAATAGTTAAAATAATAAATATTATGTTATGTATATTTTATCAGCATTTTTTTTTTAAAAAAAGCAGATTACCATTCTGCGTGTCAATTTCAGAGCCACAGGGGGTTCTGAAGACTTTCTCAACATGAAGCAAAGCAGAATGCAGAGTAAAGGAAAAGATGGGTGGCGAGCAAGGACATTCATATACTCCATCTGGGAGATGAGACAAAAGATCTGGTTCTCTTCTAAGTCTGGGAAGGCTCCATCTCCAGAAAGGTCCACAAAAGACCTGTAGGCAGGCTACTACAGTAGAGGGACCAAGAGAAAGGAGTGTGAAGGAACTCACCTTTGCCAACACCCTCTGGTTCTATTTGAGGGTCTGATCTTGGATTAACTATGTATTAAAAAAATGAATTAATTTTTAAAAATAAAAATTGGGGCTTCCCTGGTGGCACGGTGGTTGAGAGTCCACCTGTCGATGCAGGGGACACTGGTTCGTGCCCCGGTCTAGGAAGATCCCACATGCCGCGGAGCACCTGGGCCCGTGAGCCATGGCCACTGAGCCTGCGCATCCGGAGCCTGTGCTCCGCAACGGGAGAGGCCACAACAGTGAGAGGCCCGTGTACTGCAAATAAATAAATAAATAAATAAATAAAAATAAAAATTATTTTATTTTTAAAAATGGAAGTAGGATTTTTTGTAGCTATGGACAGGCTGATTATAAAGTTTAAATGAAAAGGCAAAGGAATTTAAATAGCTAAAACAATTTTGAAAAAGAAAAGTAATGGAAGGAAAAGTCATACTAACCAATTTTAAGACTTACTATAAAGCTACAGTAATCAAGAGTGTGTGGACCACAACACAGATCAATGGACCAGAATAAAAAGTCTAGAAACAGACCCACAAGAATGTGGTCAACTGATTTTTAATAAAAGTGCAAAAGAGAAAGAATAGTGTTTTCAACAGATGCTGTTAAAAGAACTGACCATCCAAATGGAATAAAAATCTCAACATAATCCTCACATCTTATAAAAATTAACAAAATGGATCATAGATCTAAATGTAAAACATAAAACTGTAAAACTTCTAGAAGAAAAGCGGAGAAAATCCTTGTGACCTAAAACAATGAATTTATAGACATGACACCAAAAGCACGATCCATAAAAGAAAAAAAACTGGATAAACTGGCTTCATCAAAATTGAGCATTTTTGCTTCACAAAGGAAACATTAAGAGAACAATGGAACATGACAAACTACAGGAAAGAATACTTGAAATCCATAGATCTGACAAAACCTCATATCTAGGAATACTCAAAATATCACTAGCCATTAAGAAAATGCAAATTAAAACCACAATGAGATATCACTACACATCTGTCAGAATGACAAAAATTACAAATCATGACAATACCAAACACTGACCAGGATGCAGGGAAACTGGAACTCTCACACATTGATGGTGGAAATGTAAAATGGTACATATACTCTGAAAAACACTTTACAGTTTCTTAAATATACATATATTAATCTTAAATATATACTTACTATATGGCCATCAATCACACCTCTGGGTATCTACCCTAGAGAAATGAAAACTTCTGTTCACACAAAAAACCTGGACATGAATGTTTACAGCAACTGTATTCATAATTGCTAACAACTGGAGTCAACCCAAATATCTTCAATGGATGAATGGATAAACCAATGTGATATATCCACACAATGTATAGCTGGCACTCAGCAATTAAGTGTAACGAACTGCTGATACAGCAACACTTGGATGAATCCCAAAAGCATGAGGGAATTTTCTGAGGCGGGTGATGGAACTGTTCTGAATCCTAATTATGGTGGTGATTACATGAACTCTACATTTGTTGAAATCCTCAGAGCTATACACAAAATGAAAAAAAAAAAGTTAACTGTATGATAATTTTAAAAATTATACTGAAAGAGAAAAAGAAAAAAACAAGTTTGGCAACACTTTGAATACATACCAAGACTACAAGTCTGCTTCTTTCACAGATGACGGGGAGGTAAGGATAGGGTGGCATTCCTTCACCCTTCAGACAAGAACTCACCCACTGATAAATACTTGGTGGCTCAGAAGTAAAAAATGATGGATGATGCATAAATCCTGTTTGTCCTTTAAAATTAGATAAATGTTTATAAAGATACATTAATACAATACTGTTTTATTCTAAAGGAAAAATAATCAACAATACCTATCATTTGAAAACTATCAGAATAACATTCTTCCATAGTCTCCAAAACGCTTCATGTTTTCTGCCACAGTAAGTAACTGACCATATTATAATATGTGGAATTTAATTGACTAATATTTTATCCAATCCTGGAAGGAAATTTAGAAAATTCCTGTGTTCAAGGCATATAAAGAATCTAACCAAAAATTTCTGCCCTAACCCTAAAGATGAGAAAACAGACAAGACACCCAGGATTGTGCTCTGTTTTAAGAACTGGGCCCCAATCCTGAGTCGCTTTAACTCGGGGTCTAAGACAGTACAGTGGTTATGGAAATGTTCTGTATCTGTACTGTCCAATATGGCAACCACTAGCCCCATGTGGCTACCGAGCACTTGAAACGTGGCCAGTGCAACTGAGGAACTGAATTTTTAATATAATTAACTTAGATAGCACATGGCAGGTGGCTGCTAACTGGGCAGCACAGGACAGCAAAGCACCCTTGGCACTGGAAGCTCTAAGCTTTTGCAAGGCAGAAACTTAGGGATGAGTAGCATTTTCCCCCTACACTGAAGAGATTATGGCTTACTACAAGTCAGAGATCGAACACTACAAACTAAAATGTGCCTGGTGGAAAGACACTGCCCCTGATTTAGAGGCCAATGGTAAGAAATACATCCTCTGCTATTAACCAAGAAAAATACAAGCAAATGTCACTACATTGTTCAGAAAACCTTTAACAGCACACTTACCTTGATCAATTGTACACACTTGTCCAGTAGTTCTGACAAGTGCTGGGTAATCTCTATAGTAATGATCTACATAAGCCTCCAATTTTAAGTCCCTAAAACAATAAAAACACATAAAAAAGAAATAACAAGGAAGGTATTATAGCACTTTCCTCCCAAAGAGTTAGAAGGACTCATCAGTTGAACTTTTCAATTAAAAACATTTACTTATGAGAAAGAAGACAACCAGACCTAGAGCCTCTGTATTCTATTTCTGGACTTTAAAGTGTCCAGTATGACAAATGGAACCCAAACTCCTTTTGCTAGATGAATTTTGTGGATAAAACTACTGTGAAAACACTGTGGTCCATTTTCTCCTCTTTTAATTTATTAGCTGTGTGACTGTCAGCAAGTCAACTCTATGAATCTCGGCAGTATTTTTTCTTCTAGAAAATGGAGAAACACCAGTTAACTCACTCTCAAGTTTGTAAGATTAAATAAGATAATATGTGCGAGAAATACTTTACAAAATGTAAAACATTTTACAAATGTTACCTGTTTCAGAGAGCCATGATTAGGGTTTGAAAATCATTTCATTACAAAAGTATTTTCATCATAGTAATGATTCGTCATTAAAAGAAACTGACCATCAATTACAACTGCCATGTCTCAGAAAAGAATTTCAGTATCTCAAGGAAGATAACAGAAATTAGAAAACATATTACAACCTTAACACAGAGGTTGGCATTTTAATTCAAAGTTAACTTTCTTTATCACCAAGGGTCACAAAGGCTCAAATAACACCTAAGTATGACCTTCCCAGTTCAGTGCCAAACACAAGGTGCTAGAAAGGCTTTTAAAAATATTTTCAGAACAATCTTATTATGGATCCACTATGAGAGCCTGAAAGACGGGGAAGACCACAGACTGAGACCACAAAGGAACAGCAAAGACAGCCCACGACTAGCAAACGACACCTGTTCTTAGAAACAAACTTGAGCAAGTTTCCTCATCGCTGAAACAGGGATTGTAATACCTACTTTGACAATTCCTACATGTAAATTACGATTTTGTTCGCTGTAAAGACCATCTGAACATAGGCATTACTACGAAAACAGCAGGTGTCATTACAGACCTTTCACCACAGTCATCGTGTCAAAATGAAAGCTGAGCAGGTCATCCTCACCGTGTAACACACTCCGGTGTCTTCCCACTCATATTAGGACAAAGACCAGCAACCCCAGCATGACCCACAGGTCCTTACATAGTGGATACCTTCAAACAATTCTGTGGTTTATAGAAAATGCTGTGGTTTGTTGAGACAGTAGATTTCAGAAATTTATTTACAAGCTTCCTATATGATATTCATGTCTAAGATCAAGTCAGCTAACGACCTCTTGAAGTTTCTAATCTACAAACAACATTTACCTTGCCAACTGAACGAGAAGTTCAACAAGTGAACGAATTCCTTCTCCCATTAGAGTGTTCAACTTAAGCTCCTCATAGATCAGGTGAAGAACAAAAAAAATTGCAGGTATGTGAGTGAAAAGAAGTGTAGAAGAGTCCAAACTGAGATTCTGTGACAAATCCTCATCCTTCATCTGTGAAACTTCCAAAGGACTCAAACATAAAGATCTATTCAAAAGATGAGACTCAACATTCTGGTGGTAGTCTGAATTTAGTAAATATTCCCAGTCCTGAGAAGAATAAAAAGGATATTAACTTTTTAAATAATCCCTCCTTGTAATGTCATCATTAAAAAAGAAAATCAAATTCACTTAAAACAATTCAAGTTCCATTTTCACATTAAGTTGTTAATAATATGAAAAATCACAATGCTAAAAAATCAGAACCAACACTTCAAATAGCTAAGCAGTTTCCAGGTGCCAGCAATAAATATTAAGACAAGCCACCTTTAAAAACCACTTGAAAAAATGTAGTCATGCCCTTTTAGGGAAGAGACTTTGGAAGAAAAATCCTACTACCTAGGTAGAGATTGAGAGAGAAAACTTTAAGATTATCTTAGGCAATGTCTTATGAGCCAAAAGTAAAGAAGGAAAGGTGGGAAGTGTAGACAGGCAGGTATAAGGACCACTACATTGATTTGGGTTTTAGTAAGAGGAGAGGTCTACTTGTATCCAGCTGGTATATGTATCTTTCAATGTTTATAAGATGATGATGCTAGTCATGTGCCTAATAGTCAACTGAATTTTATATTCAAACTGTGCTACACTTTACAAGTATTAAGTGTGTTTTAGTTTCTACTTGTGATTTATTGTATTGTGTTGAGAGAATGTGGTCTATGGTTTTGTCACAACTTGGAATTTATTGGTGCTTTTGTCAGGCTTAATACAGTGTGTTATTCTAACTTAAAAACTCTTGGAACAGATATAGAACCAACCATAAAAGTAAAAAATTTATGTTGGATAACCAAAATAAAAAATTCTGCTCACCAAAAGACACTGTTAAGCCACATACTGGGAGAAAATATTCCCAAAATACACATATGACAAAGAATGTCATATCTAAAATATATAAAGAACTTCTACAGCTTAATAAATATTTTTTTAAATCCAATTTAAAAATAGGTAAAACACCTGAACAGAAACTTCACACAAACATATGTAAGTAGCTAATAAGCACATGAAACAGTGCCTAACATCATTAGTCATTAGGGAAAGGCAAATTAAAACCTCTTAGAGAAACTGCTTTCCACATATCCAAATGGTTAAAAGGAAAAAGACTGACAGCAAATATTGGCCAACTCATATATTACTCATCAGTGTTAACATGGTATAACCAGTCTGAGAACCAGCAATGACCCAACAAGTTGCTAGGTATTTAGCCAAGAGAAATGAAAATATATGTCCACAAAGACTTATTACTGAATGTTGGCAGCAGCTTTACACATAACAAATAACGGAAATGGGCCAGATATCCATCAGCGGAAGAATGAATAAACAAACTATGGTATATTCATACTACCCACCAATAAAAAGGCACAAACTACTGATATCTGCAACAACATGGCTGAATCTCAAAAGCATTATGCTGAATGAAAGAAACCTTATGCCAAAGATTACATACTATATTCCTTCATTTATATCAAGTTCTAGAGCTGGCAACGCTAACATATGACAGAATTCAAATCAGTGGACGCTTTGAGAAGAAAAGAATGATTTAAAATGGCACGAGAGCTTTATGGAATGATGGAAATGTTTTGTTCTTGAGAGGAGTGTGGGTCACACGAGTGTGCATTTGTCAAAATCGATCAAACTGCATACTTAAGATCTGAGCATTTCATTTATGTAAATTAAACCTCAATTTTAAAAGAATGTTTTCAAACAACAAGAATACACCCATGGAATCTGATACGTTTGAAAACCTAAATTAAAGAAACTGATTAAAAAGGCAAATGCTGTCACTTTAGGTGATCAATTGGCAGTAAAACATCTATAAACCCAAATTTAAATCACACAGCATTATGTATGTTTAGTAATTTTTAGATGATCATTAAGACAAAAGTGAATAAATAGCCACAGAAAATGTAACAGGTCCTGTCCTTCAAAATAGCTGTCATTCAGTATTAAAATAAGTAAAAGGTGTTAGAAATACATGCAAATCAACAGGAACACTACAAATGTGGGGGACCAGTATACTACTCACAGATTAATTTTTATTAGCAAGAAAAAACAATGCTTACATCATCAGATCCTGTCTCAGAAGGTCTTGCTTTTTTGGGTGCAATGACTGGAGAAAGTGATCCTTCAAAGTCGAACTGGAAGATAACCCCAAAAGAGAAGACAAAATCATGTAAATTTATCACTGACAACTGATCAACTTAAATGATTCTGAAATCAGTTCTACCAATTATGGAAACTGAGGGATGTCACCAAAACTTATTTTCTCATCTGGAAAAACATGGTACGAAAACCTTTCTTCTAGGATCATTGTGAAGATTAAATGAAATCATCTATGTAAAGCACGTAGTCCAGTGCCTGGGCTCACAGGTACTGCAATGGCAGCTTCCTTTCCTCCCCTACTTCTCTGATGACACAGATCTTCACTCCACTGGTAGAAAGAACAGGACCATCAGCTATACCCAAAATACGCCAAGTCTCAAAGAATCAACCCAGTGTCAGCCAAATGTCAGAACTTAGCAGACATTTATTTAGAGTCTGTCTACAGTGACAGTCTAACAATTCTATGTCAGAGATGGGTAGCTACTCTCCAAAATCTGTGTTCTCCTCTTTCTCCTGGACCCACAGCCAGGCTATGTATCCCTGCCCCCTCACAGTTAGCTGTGGCCCTCTGACAGTGTGATTATGAATGAAAGCAGATGTCACCACTGCCAGGCCCAGTTCATGAAAACCTCCCATTCATGCTCCCCTAGGCTCTTTCCCTTGCATCTAGCATCAACTCTAAGGCTATCTTTGAAGCCTCACGTTGAAGACAGATGCTCCATCAGCCTGGGTCCCTAATAACCATGAGGCCTGTTTACCTGCTAAATACTGTTACATGAACAAGATACACATTTTTATTGTGTGTGAGCCATTATATCTTTTGAGAGCTTTCTGTTATAATAGTTAGCCTATCCTAATGCAGTTACATAAAAGCAATTTTCTAAAAGTTCAGTCTTATTCAATTCCCTCTGGCATAACCTTTGCCACCTGCAACCCTATAAATAGCAATAGCTATTTTCCGACGCTATAAAAACTTACATATTTATCAATTAATCTCATTCATCTGAAAGTTTATTTCTATATAAAAACTAAACATAGATAGCAATAATTTTTAAAACTGAATGTTTAAATATAAAACTGCATAAAGTACTTTTTTAAACTGAATAAAGTAATTTAAAAAACTGATCAAGAGAACAGGTTTTCTTGTGAAGCATTTAAATAAAACACAGCCCAACTTACATACAATATTATCAAAAAACAAAAATAACAAGAGCAAAATCAAAGCAACAGATGAAATGATAGCTATCTTACCTAAAACTTCAACCAAATATAGCGTACATGTGTGCACGCACGCACACACATAGTCTTAAGTCCCACAGTCAGAAAGAATGTCCCAGCTATGGTTATCAGGTTCATTAAGACCTGGAGTTATGGGAAAGGACAGTGGAGATTGTCTGATACAGATACCTCTTTGTGACATATATGGATCTGTCTTATTTTCATTATTTTAATATGTCACAGGTTAGCCAATCCTGTTATATAATTCTGTGGATCCCTGACCTTGATCTATCACAACCTGGATATAAAATATTCATTTATCTGCCTTCCCCTAGGACAGTCAATTCCATGAGAGGAACTATCTGTCTTCCCTAATGTGTATCTGAAAAGCCTGGCTTCATGCCTGGCCCACATCAGGGACTCAATATCTATCTAATGAAAATATGAGCATCCCAAAGGACAGAACAGTTAACCCTAGATGCAACCACTCACAGAATTAAGAACCAAAAAGAAATGTCTGGCCCAGTACTCTCATTTAACTAATTAGTGAATTAAGGAAGGCCCAAAGAAATGCCAAAATCACAGAGCTAGTCATTGGCAGAAATTCGGTACTCTACCCTCCACTCTATTACTTAAATGAAAACAAAAAAGAGATATATCTGGACAAAGCAAAATAAAAACCATTTGCCACTGAGGACCATTTCATTCTGAGCTTTGACAACGAGGACAAAAGACAGCAGGGTTTAACTATGCAGTCCTACAAATAAATGTCAGAGCTGATTTCCTCGTTCCTTCCTTTAGGGCTATCATGCAATAAGTAAATCAAAGAATCATGTTCTGCTTTACAAAAGAAAAAAACTGTGGGTGCTCAGTCCTAACCACAACATGGAAACACGAGGGGGCACTGGCTCTCTGCTAGAGAATGTGGCACAGTGATCTGTATTCCTCAACAAGTTCCACAGGACAGTAACATACAAAAACTACAAGAATCTGAAGTGGACTTATTCATATTGTAGAAATCCTCGGTTTCTATAAGGCACAATTTTTCCATATTTAATAAAGAATGGAAAAATCTGGAATGAAGTAGCATTCATGCAATTGTTTAGAATAAGAAAACTGTCCCTATTTTCCCAGGAAAATTTTTCCCAAGGAAATTGCAGAGGGCGATTCTTTCATATGATGCAACAGACACAAAACGTTAAAATACTTCATTCAGGTGGAAAAGGGCATTCATTCAACAAATGTTCACTAAACAGTCACCTATGCCAGGCACTACTGTAGGTCCTAGAGATAGAGTAGTGAACAAAACCAAACAAAAATCCCTGCCCACACAGAATTTTCCTGTGGGAGGAGAAGAGACACACAAACAAAATAAATAAAATATACAGCATATTAATTATAATTAGTGTTAAGAGAAAAAAAGGTAAAGGGGATCATAAGGGGGGCATGGAGTGTAGGTACAATTCTACACAGAATGGACAGGGCAGGCTGCACTGAGGTGACATCTGGAAAAGGCCTCAGCTTGTCTTGTCTGAGGGAAGTCATTTTCTCCAGGGGTAACAGCAAGTGCAAAGACCCTGAGGCAGGAACATGCTTGGTGTGTTCAGGGGAAACAATGGAAACCAGCGTGGTGGGGACAATGCGAGCAAGGCAGGGATGAGTAAGCAGTAAAACCAGACGTAAGAGAAGCTGGGTCACATGATGTCTTGCAGGCCTTTGGCTTTTACTGAGTAGGATGGGAAGGCACTGGAGGGTTCTGAGCAGAGGAGTGACTTGACCTGACTTTATTGGACAGGATTACTTTGGTTGCTAGGTGGAGAGGAGAATGAAACAGGTAAGCCATGAAACGCAAGTCAAAAAATAAAAACTATAGGGGGCTTCCCTGGTGGCGCAGTGGTTGAGAGTCCACCTGCCGATGCAGGGGACACGGGTTTGTGCCCCAGTCCGGGAAGATCCCACGTGCCGCGGAGCGGCTGGGCCCATGAGCCATGGCCGCTGAGCCTGCGCGTCCAGAGCCTGTGCTCCACAACGGGAGAGGCCACAACAGTGAGAGGCCTGCGTACCGCAAAAATAAATAAATAATAAAAACTATAAATGACCAATGAGAATTTAAAAAAGCCATTCCCATTTACTTATACAGAAATAACATAATAGTTCTGAGTTGGCAAAGGTTCACCCCACTCAAATAATCAATGTGGTGAAATGGGCACCTTTAAATGATGCTGGTGAAAATGTTGATTGCACAACCCTTTTTGAACATTACTTGACCTAGTAATCCCTCTTTTAGGGTTCAATTCTTGGGAAATGACTAGAGATGTACAGATTTACATATAAAAGAATGTTTGCAAATTACTCATAAGAAAAAAACTGGTTCAACAACGTTCAGTTACTAGCCATTAATCGTGATAAAACCACATGGTAGCCTATAAAATGAAGGGGGTTTTTTGAAGAATTTTTAATGATATAGGAAATTTTCATTAATATCATGTTTATCTATAAAGCAAAAGCAAAACATTTAGAGTGGCTGTCTCTGAGTAGCAGTATTTTCCTCTTAGTTCCTCCATTTTCCAAATTCTCCTCAGTAAGCATGTATACTTCCATAATAAAAAAAAACAAATGATTTTTTTAAATGGATTTGCTGGTACGAAACTAAAATGTATAGACAAGTACAGCTGAGTTACCTGGAGAAAGGTAAGTGTGTTCTACAGTGATTTCTTCAGAGTGACCCAGGCAAGGTTGTCCTGGGAGTGATCTCCAGAGGCAAAAGGAAATCACCAATACTGAAGACGCTACCCTGATTTTGTAAATAACCTATTAAGGGCCTGGAAGAAAGTTTCTAGGGAGGGAGATGAGGAATGCAGCTTTGTATCATTAGCAGACTAGATACTTAGGCTAAAGCACTTTAAATCTCCATCAAATCAAAGCTTCCTCCTCACAGACCAAGCAATTGTGTGTGAAAACACAGTCTGGGCTTCAGAAAAGAACATTAAGCCATGAGTCAGAAGATACAATGAAGGCCCAGTTTTGAGCAAATCTCTAATCGGTGATTTCTTCGTGATTCAGTTTCTTCATCAATAAAATCAAGACTACTACTACTAATCCAAGCATAACTTATAGCCATTTTACAAAGATGAAATGAGAAATAGTAGCCAAAGTGCTTTACCATATTATGAAAATGCAATAATTCTAATTACTAGTAAAATGTTATTAAATAGTAATGATATTTGACTTAAAATGTATAGACACAATAAGCCTTAACATATTCCATTTTGTTAAATGAGGTATGCCCATTAGTAAACTGATATGTTATATACACTGAATGCTGCACAACCAATTATGCAAACATCACTGGTGGATTTGTTTCTTGGTTTGCTTGCTCTCTTCTTTCTTTCTTTCTTTTTTATTAAATTTTTTTAATAATTATTTTTATTTTAATAACTTTATTTTATTTTCCTCTTTCTTTCTTTCTTTTTTTTCTCCCTTTTATTCTGAGCCATGTGGATGACAGGCTCTTGGTGATCCAGCCAGGCGTCAGGGTTGTGCCTCTGAGGTGCGAGAGCCAAGTTCAGGACATTGGTCCACAAGAGACCTCCCAGCTGCACGTAACATCAAACAGCGAAAATCTTCCAGACATCCCATCTCAACGCCAAGACCCAGCTCCACTCAACGACGAGCAAGTTACAGTGCTGGACACCCTATGCCAAACAACTAGCAAGATAAGAACACAACCTCACCCATTAGCAGAGAGGCTGCCTAAATCACAATAAGGTCATAGACACCCCTAAACACACCACCAGACATGGACCTGCCCACCAGA